CAAATAAATGCATACTCTGAAAGCGCTTCACAAGACATGTGTGATTATATTAATGGATGCTCGAAATTGAACGGGAGAATGCACGTTTTAAACAGCTTATTGTACAGGTAAGTTAATCGCCGTTCTAATCTAATGCGCTGCTGCACTGTAACACACACACACAGGCTACAGACAGTAGCTCGTACATCACACGCACAGAATCGTTCAGCGCGGAAATGTATTGTCAACACTGTTCTGTGATTTCTCAATAAAATAGCTTAGAAACGGAAAAGTTCAAGCATATATTTCTTAATAACCTTTGACTATATTTGTGTATTAACATTTATTAAAATATATATATTTTTTTTATTTACTACTTCATATTATGACTCCTCTGCTTCTATTACACATTTGATGGCATTTTTTTTATGTTCTTAAATTTGAATGCCAAAATGTGATCGAAATTTAAACTGCACAATTATTGCTGTAAGGTGTCCTTCTATTATTTCTCAGACAAAATGCTGCAAATTTTTTTGTTAAATTGAAATGTCAAATAACAAAATTAAACTGAAATTTTAAAATAAATCAAATAAATAAATAATACAAATAAAATGAATCTCTTAATATAAACAAACTAAGGCTTTGCCTTTGCTCTTTTCATTTAAAATTAGAGGCAACCAGTGCATTTTAATCAAACAAAGATGCTGCATATATGTAACATGAGCAGTTTTTGATTTAAATTAGATTGTACAGTTTTGAAATCTGAAGAAACATTTTGATAAATAGAATTGGCTCGGGGTACATCGTTACATCCCTAAACACAAACACATAGATGTAACGTTCACAAAAAGATGATTAATATGCATTTAAAATAGATAGGGTGAATTTTCATTTCATGCTGACCTTAGTGAACATGACCTTATAGCTTTGTAATACACTTTTCTGCTGTTATTGTGCATATTTCATCTGTACTATTTAGAAGTTAAGTTATTGAAAGTTGAACCATGTTGCTTGTTGGTATATGTTAACTTATAGCCAAACACCCTCTTTTAACCATTCAATAAATTGTAAAATCTATGAGAAATGTTTCCATGTGGAGTCACATTTCAGATCCATTGTGATCAGATCTTGCTGCTTTTATCATGATGAGGAATTTACACCATTTAAATAATCGTGACATTTGTATATCTTGAACGTAAGCTGTAAGTGTCATCCTCTTTTTCCTCCACTGTCATCATTAAGGCCTAAATTTCACACTCTCTTCTTTTCTTGAAAGGACATTCATACCATGCTGGTGCTTGAGGCCAATGGAAGTCTGGTCTTGTACACAGGAGTCACACGGGTGAGGCTTGATTTCATCTGCGATTTTCACCTCTGAAGTGACATTATTAGTGGCCTAAATAATTTTTCTGACTATGCTGTAATATGCAGCATGTCTGCCATGCGTAGTTCTCTTTTATTAAAAAAGCCAAAGGCATCTGTGCATTACAATTTGCACTCAAAGCCTAGTGCTGAGTCTAATACATCATCATGTTCCCCACCAATCACTAGAGATTTGAAAATTGGTTCCAGGTGAGTCACTCATATCTGGATGAGAGACTGTCATTAGTGCTGGAGAGACTGCAGGGATTCTTTACAGATGCGCAGGCATATCTGTTTATACTATTAGATTCCTATAGTTTATTAATGTCATAAGATGGTACTTACAGATGTGTGCATGATTGATGTATAAAAAGCCTTTTTCTCTGCAGCACTGATGATGCTGTGTGTTTCAGATGTGGATGACTCGCCTCGAACCAGTTTTCTAGTTCTAGTTCTCTAGGGATTGGTTGAAAATATGATTGATCAATGTGACCTATCCCACATAATACAAAGGCTCCATCCGAACGCTATCCAATATTATTTGTCTTATAGAGTATGCTATTTGTCATATATAATATAAAAATAGTGATTTAAAATAAAATAGCTTTTCCCAATTTCCTACTTCAGATGTTATTACTATCTATCTGTCTGTCTGTCTATCTATTGTTCTGTCATTCTGTCTGTCTGTCTGTCTGTCTATCTATTGTTCTATCTATCGTTCTGTCTGTCTGTCTGTCTGTCTGTCTGTCTGTCTATCTATCATTCTGTCTATTGTTCTGTCTGTCTGTCTATCTATCGTTCTGTCTATTGTTCTGTCTGTCTGTCTATCTATCGTTCTGTCTATTGTTCTGTCTGTCTATCTATCTTTCTGTCTTATCGTTCTATCTATCTATCTTGTCTGTCTGTCTGTCTGTATCTATCTATCATTCTATCTATCGTTCTATCTATCATTCTCTGCCTGTCTGTCTGTCTGTCTGTCTGTCTGTCTGTCTGTCTGTCTGTCTGTCTGTCTGTCTGTCTGTCTGTCTGTCTATCTATCTATCTATCTATCTAATGTGTGAGTGTATGCATATATATATATAATAAAATATATGACATATATTGTAATTATATTTGAAATAATTTAATATGAATACTACTACTAATTATTAGTATTACTTTTACAATTGTTGTGTTTATAATCATGTAATTATATTAACAATAATAATAATCGTATAATATTATAATAAAATTGTTTTAATACTTATATTTAATGCTAATACATGTGTGTATATATATATATATATATATATATATATATATATATATATATATATATATATATATATACATACATACATAATCAGTTTTATAATAATAGTAATAACAATAATAGCAATTTTTGTTAAAATAATGATTAGTAGTAGTCGTAGTAGTTAAATTATGTGTAAATTATTTAAATCTGTTAATATTTTTATTAGATCATATTTTTGTTATATATTTATTTTATGTATATTGCAAGGAAATAGCAACCTCACAAGTGTTCGTTTTTAGACATTCACACATACTTTATATGAAATAAATAAATATACACCTAGAAACTTAAAAAAAGCTAAAATATGGACTAACTCACTGACCCTTGTTGAAAAAGAACACAAATTAATTTTGTTTTATTCTTGTTCTGGATCCTATTGGGTTTAGTATCTTTAAGCGAATGCTAACACACTGATATACATACACTAACAGCATGTATGTATCGAGAGACACTTTTGTCCTCTAGTAGCATGTCCCAATACTTGCATAAAGAGAATTAATTTTCCCATCACTTACAAAGTAATTCAGCTTTAAGCCTTTGGTAACACAAAACCATCATGTTTTAAGCTAATAATCATGGTTGTTTTGCTTCCAGGTCAGCAAAGTATTTATCCCTGGCCTTCTGTCTCCTACCTTCAGTGTGCAAAACCACCAGCCGCAGTTAAGCACCCCTCTGGAGAACATAAGCACCCCCGCCAGGGCCACAGTTCAGCATATGAGCCGACTGGAGGAGGTACTATAATGTGCTTATAGCGGGATTGTGTGCATTATATTGTAGCCAATTAGTGAAAGACTAATTGAGTCATATGTGTAAGACAAGACAACATTCTTTGAGAGGACTCTTGACATTGTGTCCTAATGCTATTGGCCATCCGCTTAGTTCTTACAGATGGATCGATATCAGTATTAAATCACAGTAATATGGCCAGCTCTCTTCTTGAACAACAAAAACTACTTGGCTCTCGACTGGTTTGGATAATCTAATTTTGTGAAACAGAGATCAAGTAGCCCATATGATTGATAGTATGCTTAATAAATTATTAATCGTACCCAATATGAGTGCATTTATGGGTATTGTGTTAGAAGAGGAGTGCTTTTTAGAGCCACCATTTAACATGAAGTATTGCACTACTGATAAAAGCTTCTCTAGTCCCCGCAAATGTCCCCTAAATCACAAACAGTATTTTATTCACTTCAAATCCCGAGAACTACATTAAGGGCAGATGATGTACTTGTGCGGACAGACACATTTCAATCACAGTTTGTTTATTTACTACCAGTAATGGTTAAGAGAGCCACAAATATCTTTTTTAACAATATTTTTAAGCTTTCCATGCCTTTTTCGCCCAGAGGAGAACTGGTGCCCTGACTGAGCCTGTTTTCTCCCAAGTTTTTTTTCTCCATTTCTGTCACATGATGGAGTTTGGTTTCTTGCCACTGTGGCCTTTGGCTTGCTTAGTTGGGGATTAAAAGACACATAAAGGTATAGTTAACCCAAAAATGAAAATTTGCTGAAAATATACTTATTCTCAGGCCAACCAAGATGTAGATGAGTTTGTTTCTTCATCAGAACATGGAAGCAACGGTTTAATGTTAAAACGTCTTAGTGATGGATTTGTTCATTACACAAACAGCTTTTCATTTCACAAGACTTTAACTGATGGACTGGAGTGGTGTGGATTACTTGTGGATTATTGTGATGTTTTTATCAGCTGTTTGGACTCTCATTCTGACGGCACCCATTCACTGCAGAGGATCCATTGGTGAGCAAGTGATGCAATGACACATTTCTCCAAATCTGTTCTGATGAACAAACATCTACATCTTGCATATCCCGAGAGTGGTTACATTTTCAGCAAATTTTCATTTTTGGGGGTAATTCCTTTATTATTTAGTAATATCATTGATTTGACCTCATGAGAACAAAACTTGTTTAATAATAACACTTGTCTTCAGCACAGCTGCTTTATAGCTGAATCAAATGTATTCATAGTTGACAAATTCTGCTACATCAACACTGTGATTGAACTGGCTTGAGCTGAATATCCACAATACGTTCTTCACTTGAGCTTCGTATTACTGAATTGAGCTGGTTTTGTAATGAAAGTACTTTACACGGTAATTGAACTGACTTGAGCTGAATAATCACACTTTTGTCTTGTTAGAGCATCTTTATGGCAGAATTCGGATTTGCCTCATATTTGGTGAAGTTTGCATCATTAATTCGGTTATTGTTCCTGTTAAGCTGCTTTGAAACAGTTTCTATTGTATAAAGCACTATATAAATCAAGGTGACTTGCTTGACCTTTTTGATAGAGACGTGAATGCTAAAAGGTTATAGAAGGGATGAGCATTAACATCCCTGAACTTGAGGATGCAACATCTTGCATGACTGTTTAATGGTGTTGTGTTTCTGTGTGCTGTCAGGTTGGCATGCCGTCTCCGGTGTTGGAGGTGCGTAGCTCGTCACAGCACCACGAGTCATCCTGGCTGGAAGACACTCCGTTCCAGCAGGCTGCACCTCACATCCACACCTTCAGAGACCCTGTCAGCAACAGAGTCACGCTGGTCAGTGCAGCTAAAAATTCCCATGAAATATTTAATGCACACTTCTAAGCCAAACCAGACATTTAAAACCTTAATGTCACGATGAATTAAACATGATTAAACATTTTAGGTAAAAAAAATGCACGGATAAATTGTTCACACTGAGATCTATAACATGCATGTATAAAAAAAATTAAAAAATAGGGTGAATTTTCATTTCATTTTGACAGGCTGACACTTCAGTACTTTTGATAATTAATAAATATTGGCTGAGACTGATATAATTACCAATGTATTTTGGATCTCTACTATACAATACACAATGAAGTTGTTTAGGCACATTATTACTGTTTTGGTTACAATATATGTATACTGTAAAAAGTGAGTTTAATTTTTAACTGTAAAATACTGTACAAATAAAAATCTTATTATAGTAGTTACCTTACTATATATGGTAAAAACTGTAAATAAATGAGCCGTTTTATATCATTTTACAGTAAATACTATTACATTTAATACTAATTTAATATTAATACTATTACGTTTTGGAGGTGAAAAAGAAACAATTACTCTATAATTCTATAAATAAAAAGGTAAATTCCCAGAATTCTCTGTGTGACCCTTTACATTTGATGGTTTTTCATTGAAATAACTTATTTATGTTTATGTTTATGTTTAAATCCCTAACTTATGTTTTTCTTATTGGTTATGTAAGTTAGGGATTTATGTTGCATCTCATGTTGTAAAATTAATCTTTATTGTATTATTTTGTGTTTGAGTGCATGAGATTCATCATGTGGTTTTCTCATTACCACCTGTGTTTTAGTACAAAACAGATTTTAGTGCATTAGTAGGTTGGTATAACTTATCAGTTGCTGCAGTTTTTTTTATGGTCGAGTTTTGGCAACCACAGCCGCCGTTTTTCTTTCTTTCTTTTTTTTTATTCATCGACTATCTGTCAGTATATTTTGGAAGAATTAGTCTTTTGTTAATCAGCCAAGTGGGCTCGGTTTTTCGTCCAATGCCAGTAATCTCAAAATGCCCACATATTTGGATGAATCTACCTGGTTCACTTGATATATCACTGTCTGGACATAAATGTGGCAGCTGCTTTCTAAATGCATTTTCAAAATGTCAAACAGGGTCAAGATGCTTGCGTTTGTGTTTGTACTGACCACTGCTGCTAAAGGCAGGAGCTAGTAATTGCTTTTGTCGTACAGTGGCCGGCTGTAATTGAGGGCTGCCACAGTAACAGGACATGACCGAAATGCCGTGGCATCTCAGACATGTGCACCAGGAGCCTGTCACTGTTTTGACAAGACTCAATAAGGTCTGGTCCCCTGCAGTCAGCCCCTCTGCATTGTCACGTCCCACTGAACGACATGTCCTACCAGAAGAAATCCCCTCGCAGGCCTGTCAAAGCAATCTCACCACGTCCAACTTATGTGGGATGATAAGCTTGACTGAGAAAGGGTTTTAAAAATAGCCAGCGTCTAAGGTTTGTTTTCATCCAGGTCATTGTCGAATGCCTGCTGGAATTTTGCTGCATGCAATTGTTCTTTTGTTTTCGATTTATTTCAGCAAAGGGAACAACAATAGCCTGGTTGAATTTGACCAGATATAAATAGCAACGTGACGCCGGTTGGTTCGGACTCTTTTTGATGCGATAGCATTGCTAATTTAGTATGTGGCGCTAATATCCGCCTCTCACTTTTCTTTTGTTCAGGAATTGAGCTCCGGTTCCATGTTAAGAATCACCATTCCTGAGGTGGCCACTTCAGAGCTGGGTAAGAGAAAACACTCACATAAATACAGTCCAACCGAGTGATGCATCAGTTCCAATGCAGCACAGAGCTGAGTCACAAGCTGTTTATGAGTTTGCCGGTCAAAACACTCATTTTGACACTCCTAGTGTCAGTTTTCAGTTTAAATTTTTTCATTTTTGTCTTTTCATGAAAATATCCTCTCCATTTAGTCACTATTTGGTAACATTTAAGGTTTAATTTGTTAACTACATTGGTTAACATGAACAATACTTCTACAGCATTCATCTTAATGTTAATTTCTGTATTTACTAATATATTTTAAATCAATAAACCAATAAATAGCATAATTAAAATTTAAAACAATAAATAAACCTAATATAATAAATAAGTATCATGTCAGCAGTCAATTAATTTTAGTTAATGCACTGTGAGCTAACATGATGAACAATTAATAAATAATTGTATGTATTTATTTTAAGTAACATTTAACAATGATGCTTTAAAAAGATATTGCTCATTGTCAGTTTATGTAAGCTAATGCATTATCTAATGTTAACAAATGAGACCTTATTATGTAAAGTGTTATTGAATATTTTATCATGTCATATTCCTTCATTTGAACTATTATTGGATTATTATTATTATTTTCTAGAAAAACTTTTGTTAGTGCATTGTTGCAATATAATTTTTTCTTGTCATATTTCCGTCAACGGTATAAGAAGTGTTAAATAAAAATTTGAAGGAATTTTACATTTTAATGGAATAGTTCACCCCATAATGAAAATTTGCCTCACCTTCAGGCCATCCATGATATAGATGAGTTTTTTCTTTATCAAATCAGATTTGGAGAAATGTAGCATTCCATCACTTGCTCACCAATGGATCCTCCGCAGTGAATGGGTGCCGTCAGAATGAGAGTCCAAACAGCTGATGAAAACAGAATAATCCACAAGTAATCTACACCACTCCAGTCCATCAGTTAACTTCTTATAAAGTGAAATTCTGCGTGTTTGTAAGAAACAAATACATCATAAAGAAGTTTTAACTTTAAAACGTCATTTCTGGCCAAAACAGGAGTCTGTAATCCTTTTCACTTCACAAGACATTAACTGATGGACTTGACTGGTGTGGATTACTTGTGGATTGTTTTGTTTTTATCATCTGTTTGGACTCTCATTCTGACGGCACCCATTCACTGCAGAGCATCCATTGGTGAGCAAGTGATGTAATGCTACATTTCTCCAAATCTGATGAAGAAACAAACTCACCTACATCTTGGCTGGCATGAGGGTGAGTACATTTTCAGTAAATGCTAATTTTTGGGTGATCTATTTATTTAATTGTTGTCTTTTTCGTCTTGTCTTTGTTATAGTACAAAATCTTTGGCCATATTAACACTGCCGTTTTTGTAGTTATTTTGTAAAACTCAGATCCTGATTTTTTTTGGCATAAATTTTGTGAAGTAAAACTGTGAGTCATTCCTGACACTTTCTACATTTAGACATTTGACCTTTTCTAATGTGTTTGCCAGTAATATTCCAGGAAGTGTAGATGATACATGCTTTGGGTTTGTTCATGTCATTAGAGCTGTTTGCTATTACTTTTGCTGTTGATTTATACGGTTTCAGTTTTAACCACCTAGCAACCACCCAAAGCATGCTAGCGTCATGGCAATGACTTTGAATGGACAAACACTGAACGCATCCCAACTGTGGGTGCAGACTTCCCTGTGGTGGATTAATTTAGTTTTTCTTGGCCTTTCGTCTTGAACTTATTGCGTGCGACATCTACCTATCCGGCATTCTTTACAATTTTCTCAATTAATGCCAGCTTCCTGTTAATAAGTGCTTTAGTTTGAAAGTGGTGGGCTTTGTACTGCTAATAAAGTGACATTTTATTCAGCTCCATCCTGACCTTTCTCTGTTTGTTTGCTAATTAAGCTTCAGGCAGAGTCATTGAGAGTGTGGTGGTGTGATGCTGAATGATATCAAATGAAATAAAAGAAGTGGAAAATGCCATTTTACATATTCCCGTTTAGTTGTGAAGAAAAGCTAATTTTACTAATTTCACTGGTATTCTATCCAGTGAAGATTTCACACTGTAGATAACTGTAGATACTCTATCGTTGAATGTGGTTGCTGATATTTACACTGATTTCCCAAGAACTCGTGACACGGCAGGAATGAACTGATTTGAACTTTAGCATTTTAAATGGCCAAGCGTATTCACAACTGTGGCTGTACTGCAGATTTATGAAACAGCAAAGTAGCTCTGAGATGCATAACTGACGTCCGATATGTGACTTGTCTCTCCTAAACAATCTGCGTGATCTGAGCATGTGGGACAAATTATGTGCTGAATTTTATAGGGGTCATATGATGTTGCTAAACAGAACATTATTTTGTGTATTTGGTGTAATGAAATGTGTTGATGTGGTTTAAGGTTCAAAAAACACATTATTTTCCACATACTGTACATTATTGTTTCTCCTCTATGCCCCGCCTTTCTGAAACGCGTCGATTTTTACAAAGCTCATCGTTCTGAAAAGCGAGGTGTGCTCTGATTGGCCAGCTATCCAGTGCGTTGTGATTGGCCGAATACCTCAAGCGTGTGACGGAAATGTTACACCCCTACCATATTGTGATGCCGGAGCGACGAGACAAAAACATTAAAATCCATTATAAATGAGGCATTTGTTGCATCTAGTGGTGACATAATTATGGATTATAATAACTTATACTGTCTTTTTACGCGTTGCATCGCGCCGCGGCGCGTAAACATACAACCATGTCTGTATTTGTGATCGGAGAAAGGACAAACGATAAGTCTACTCTACACTGCTCAAAACTCGCGTTTGAATCATCAGTGGCAGATCCTTTAAATATGAAAACATACGTAACAGGCTGTGAGTCAGAACAGCCGGCATTGTAATCTACTCTACCAGGATCAGGAAACAGTCCTCCATAAAATGTGCTGCACACATCTGAATATTTGGTTTAAACTGTTCTGGAACAGTGTTGTAAATACAACTTAACCACTGATTTCTAGTCGTGTCCTCGTTTGGAAGGCCAAACAAAGTATTTTCGCTTTCGCAACGAAACATGCAGTGTCTCCACAACATGACTGCGACGGCGGCAGCAACAAAAAAGTTACGCCTTCTTTCTTTGCGAGAACATTTGGGCGGCGTTATGCAAATCTTCCCACATCGTGACATAGACATGTGGGGGCGTGTTTAAATGAGCCGTTTTAGGTAGGCGTGGCTGACTTAACTTTTAGAAAAAATATTTATTTGGGTTTGAGACTTTAGTCTTTGTAACTTTAGGGATCTTATCTATTCACAAACCGCTTGTAACACTCCAAAGAGAAAGGAAAGCTTGAAATCGCATCATATGACCCCTTTAATACTTTGGAATAGGGGTTTGTTTAAATTACTAACCCAAAGTATGAGGAATATTAATATTCTTGCATGTCTTGGCAAAAGACCACAACATTTTTTCCCTCACTTAAATATGGAAGCCCACTTTAAAAAAAGGTCATTACAACTTTATCACACAATTCTGACTTCTTGCATTCCGAGTTTAGTTTTCTCTCACAATTTTTAATTATCTCGCATTTCTGACTTTTTAATCTCAGAATTGTGAGGTTATATCTTGTAATTCAGAGTTGATTACACAATTCCTGCTTTATCTCTAGCAGTTCCCAGTATGCATATCACAATTCTGACTAATTAACAGAATATTAATTTTGTGAATGTAATGTATGATTTTATTCATCGAAAGGAATACAAAATGGAATGTATCGAAACAGTTCTTGAATGAAACATGCGTTTTCTGATATAGAAACAACCTTTCTTCCACAAAACTAGGCGTCCCTTAAAAGAGATATTAACTCTTTAACTCTGCTAGAGATAAAGTCGGAATTGTGTCATAAACTCACAATTTGGAGAGAAAAAAATGTCTGAATTGTGAGATATTAACTTAAAATTGCAAGACAAACTCAATTGCGAGACAAAGTCGAAATTGTATATTATAAACGATAAATTCTTAGAGAGTCTGATTTGTAAGATTTTAACTCAAAATTGCAAGATATAAATTCAAAATGATGTGATATAAACTCAGAATAACGAGAAATAAAGTCAAAATTGTATATTATTAGCTCAAAATTCGGAGGAAAAAGTCTGAAATATGAGATGTCAACTCAGAATTGTCAGATGCAAACTCAGAATAGTGATAAAGTCAAAATTGTATATTATAAACTCACAATTCTGAGTAAAAAAAGTGAAGTATGGCATACAGTGGGGAAAAAAAGTATTTAGTCAGCCACCAATTGGGCAAGTCCTCCCACTTAAAAAGATGAGAGAGGCCTGTAATTTTCATCATAGGTATACCTCAACTATGAGAGACAAAATGAGAAAAAAAATCCAGAAAATCACATTGTAGGATTTTTAAAGAATTAATTGGTAAATTCCTCGGTAAAATAAGTATTTGGTCACCTACAAACAAGCAAGATTTCTGGCTCTCACAGACCTGTAACTTCTTCTTTAAGAGGCTCCTCTGTCCCCCACTCGTTACCTGTATTAATGGCATCTGTTTGAACTCGTTATCAGTATAAAAGACACCTGTCCACAACCTCAAACAGTCACACTCCAAACTCCACCATGGCCAAGACCAAAGAGCTGTCAAAGGACACCAGAAACAAAATGGTCAAAATTATCACAAGAACTGTGAGCAAAAATCCCAGAACCACACGGGGGGACCTAGTGAATGACCTGCAGAGAGCTGGGACCAAAGTAACAAAGGCTACCATCAGTAACACACTGCGCTGCCAGGGACTCAAATCCTGCAGTGCCAGATGTGTCCCCCTGCTTAAGCCAGTACATGTCCAGGCCCGTCTGAAGTTTTCTAGAGAGCATTTGGATGATCCAGAAGAGGATTGGGAGAATGTCATATGGTCAGATGAAACCAAAATATAACTTTTTGGTAAAAACTCAACTTGAGGAGAAAGAATGCTGAGTTGCATCCAAAGAACACCATACCTACTGTGAAGCATGGGGGTGGAAACATCATGCTTTGGGGCTGTTTTTCTGCAAAGGGACCAGGACGACTGATCTGTGTAAACGAAAGAATGAATGGGGCCATGTATCGTGAGATTTTGAGTGAAAACCTCCTTCCATCAGCAAGGGCATTGAAGATGAAATGTGGCTGGGTCTTTCAGCATGACAATGATCCCAAACACACCGCCCGGGCAACGAAGGAGTGGCTTCGTAAGAAGCATTTCAAGGTCCTGGAGTGGCCTAGCCGGTCTCCAGATCTCAACCCCATAGAACATCTTTGGAGGGAGTTGAAAATCCGTGTTGCCCAGTGACAGCCCCAAAACATTACTGCTCTTGAGGAATGGGCCAAAATACCAGCAACAGTGTGTGACAACCTTGTGAAGACTTACAGAAAACGTTTGACGTCTGTCATTGCCAACAAAGGGTATATAACAAAGTATTGAGATGAAATTTTGTTATTGACCAAATACTTATTTTCCACCATAATTTGCAAATAAATTCTTTAAAAATCCTACAATGTGATTTTCTGGATTTTTTTTCTCATTTTGTCTCTCATAGTTGAGGTATACCTATGATGAAAATTACAGGCCTCTCTCATCTTTTTAAGTGGGAGAACTTGCACAATTGGTGGCTGACTAAATACTTTTTTTCCCCACTGTATAAACTCAAAATGAAATCAGAATTGCTAGATAAAAAGTTGCAGTGGCCTTCCTTTTTTTTATTCTGTGGAGGAAACGGGCTTCCATGCTTCATTATTCAAATCATGTGGAACATTGAATATCAAATCACTAAACTAAAAAGCTATTTCCCATTATTCATTTTGCCTTTGTGTTTTTAACACATTTTTTGATTTTTTTTTTTCAAATTTAGGAATTATGGTTAAATAGCAAGGCTATTTACATCAAGGTTCAAAAAAGTCCTACACTTTCTCTACTTCATTTCATCTTGCTGCAGAAATCCAATCAAACAAGACCCAATCAAACCCCATGCATCGCTCCACCCTCACATCTCTACATCCTCTTCCTCTGTATCGGGTCACGCAGACAAACACTTTGGCAAACAGTCATCTGTAAACCCTCTCAAGTGTAGTGTCCCGTCCCTGCGATCTCCACCCCCTCGCTCAGATGTGTGTTCCAGCTCCGGCTGTGTGCTTTGAAGGGGCAGCCCCCTCCGTGTGCACTCTTCTATAGGATCACCTCCGCGTGCATCCTTCATCTTCAGTATCTTCACCTACACTTTTATTTTTGACCTACACACGTGGGGGTGGGAGATACGAGCTAAAAATTGTTATGTTTAATGTTAATCTAATAATATGGTATTAATTCATCAGAGATCGGTGGTGACAGCTGACTAAATAACATGTATTAGTGATGTTTGCTAAGGCAATTATTACATTCTATATGTTTTTGTGAATGTAATATTTGATTTTGTGCATAAGTATGAATACGAAAAGAACATTGCTTGACTGAAACATGCATTTCGTGATGCAAACAGATCCTTTCGTCCACAAAATTAGGCACCCCTTAAAAGAGATGCAGTATTAAAAAGCTAGAATTGTGAAATTTTAACTCAAAAATTTGCGAGATACAAACTGGGAATTGTGAGAGATGTTAACTCGCAATTCTGAGAAAAAAAGTATGAATTGTGAGATGTTAACTCATAATTGTGAGAAATAAAATTAGAATTGTGTATTATAAACTCTGTTTAAACTCAATTCTGAGAAAAAAAGTCAGAATTACGAGATTTAAATATTTGTGCTCCAGACATCAATGATTCAGAAAAAATTGAATTTGAATGGTGAGATTTTACCTCGAAATGGCAAAATATTGCGAGAGATAAAATGAGAATTGTGTGTTTAAAAACTCATAATTCCAGGGAAGCAAGTCTGAATTGGGATATCTTCTCTCAAAATTGTGATATATAATATAAATAATATATGTAACACAGTTCGTAGCTTGGGAAGGAGGCGGGAACCGACGAACATTTTAACAAAACTTTAATAAAATAAACAAAATGAAAGTAAAGCGGCAGCCCCTCGCGGACGACTGCCGCACACAAAACACAAAATAAAGTCCAGGCCTGGTCCTCTCTCGTCCAACACTGTCGTCCCTCCTCCTTTTATCCTTCCGGAGCTCCTCCGTGGGACTCGAGACCGGTGAGTGGCGCAGGTGTCTTGCATTAGCATTTACTCCACCGGCCTCGCTCCGTTCCCACGGCTCTCGGCCCCGCCCCTCTCATCACAATATAATATCAATTCAGAAAAAATGTCAGAATTGTGTATTATAAACGAACAATTCGGAGGGAAAAAATCTGAAATGCGAGATGTTGGCTCAAAATTGTGAGATTGTGAGAAATAAAGTCTGAATTGACTTATAAACTTTGAGAGAATTGTGAGAGAAACTTGGAAATTGAAACTCAGAATTGTGGATTTTAAACTCAAAATTCTGAGGAAAAAAAATTGTGAGAAATAAAATGTAATTTAAAAGGAAAGTCTGAATTCTGTATTATAAACTTGCAATTCTGAATTACAAGAGATAAATATCTGTACTCTTGACGTGAATGATTCCTCCTATTTGTTTAGCTCTTTAAAGAGAGGTGTGCTATTATTTACTAGGTGATTTTTGCCCAGTGAGTGATAAAATGAGTTGAACAGTCACATAGACTCATAAGGAGGCACTTAAGTCTAATCTAGAGACCGAAATGTTCCAGAAAGCGCCCACTCCTTAACATTGTGTCAGTGACTTTTGTTATTAACACCTCGTCTTTCTTTTACTCCCTCAGTCAAACGATGCCTGCAGGCCATCAGGTTTATTTTACCCAAGGACACTGCCATGAAAGTGCTGGTCAAGTGGTACAACAGTTACAATGCCCCTGGAGGTCCCAGCATGCACCTGGAGTGGAACCTGTTTGTTACATGCCTAATGACAATGATGGGTTACAACACCGAACGACTGACGTGGACACGCAATGTGAGCGTCTCTTTAGTTTGACCTCTGTGTCAGTCTTTGTGTTGGGTAACCTTGAGCCTGTGCTGGCGCACAAGGATCGATCAAGCATTTAACGGAATTAAAATTTTACATTTACATGACAAAATGTTTTAAAATCAGATGTCTCAGGTAAGCACAGAAAACAATTTACTACACGTTAAAACTTCTACAAATTTTTATTTTCTACAAGTTAAATTGCAATTATTGATTTAACCATATATTTCCTAGTACAATTAATTTCTGATTTAAAATATTTTTTGTAATTCTATTTTTTTCATATTTATTTATCAAAATAAAATACTTGTATTTAAATGAAACTTTTATCAAAACAAGACTTTATTAGATGCTATTAAGATTATTAAAAACTATAAGAAACTTTATTTAAAAAAAGTATTTATTCAAAATTGTTTTAAAATCAATTCATTAATTTAATCACATTAAAACTTTTGTACAAATTACATTTTTATAACCATATTTGCTCAGTCATTCAATATTTTGTTGTGATTTTAATTAAATCAGAAATGTTGTAGATCTTATTTGCTTGCAAATGTTATATAATTAAGTTTAATAAATCAGTAAAAATTGATCTTTATTTTTCTATATTTATTATAACTTTATTTAAACAAAACTTTTTCAAAACAAAATACTTTATTAAACCAACTCTATTTAGCAAAAAAAAACAAAACACAATTGTATTATATGATGACTGATGGCTGTCAGAGTAGTTTACTATTGGTGAATGAAGCACTTGTCTGGCTTAAATGATCATTAACACAATTGGCATCTCCACAGCTTCATTTTGAAGTGCCTCTCTCTCCAGTAATAGCCCCTAAGAAGGCCCGTCCTGCTGACACGGGTTCGGATGAGGTGAGTGTCTCTAGACATGTCAAAGACCCTTGATCATCTAAACTCTTGTGTCAATTGATCAGCTGTAGCCTAAGGCTGATGATACATGGGGCAACTTTGGCTAGTGTTGCCGTCAGCGGGCAACCAGGTGATACACTGGGCCCACGACTGATCTAAAGTATCCAGATTGAAATTTGTTACCCATCCTCAATGGGAAAGTGCCCAAGCAACATTGCTCAAAAAAAGTTGCCTGGCAAAATTGCTCAGAAAGTTGCCCCGTGTATCATCAGCCTAACTGCTTAAAATGCATCTGTTGATTTGCTTTTGTTTTATTACAGAAAGGCCAATAAAGCTTACTGTATAGACTTCTGTTCGAAAGTTTAGGAAAGTTTTAATTTGACCAAAATTGATAGTAAATATATTTATAATGTCACAAAGGATTGCAAATAAATGCTATTCTTTTAAAAAATGTATATCCATCGAAGAGTCGTATGAAAATGCAACATTGTTTCCACAAAAATATTAATCAGCACAACTGTTCTCAACATTTATAATAATCAGAAATGTTTCTTGAGCAGCAAATCAGCATATTAGAATGATTTCTGAAGATCATGTGACACTGAAGACTGGAGTAATGATGCTGAAAATCAGCTTTGATCACAGGAATAAATTACATTTTAAAACTTATTCAAAAAGAAAACAGTTCTTTTAAATTGTAATAATATTTCAACATTTTTACTGTATTTTTAATCAAATAAAAGCACCCTTGGTGAGCATAAGAGACTTTACAAGCATTATGTAATCTTACCGACCCCAAACTGTAGTGTATATAGTGTATAATATGTATAAAAGTCATTGCTGGTCTGCAGAGTTCCTTTGGTTTGTTGATATGGCTACATCTGTTTGACATCAACAGGATTGGGGATACCTCAGATGCTCTGACTACCATTGGCAGGTTTCCATGCAACCTGCGTTGGCCGTTCAGGGCCTGGAGCCGGTGTGGCCCCCCGGTGGAGTGGATAACCACCAGTCAGCTCTGGGTTTAGAGTCGTCTGCCATGCTCTTTCCACACATCCCGGTGCTCTTCTACGTTCTGCATCTGCTCTATGAAGACCTGAAGCTGGACGAGCTGCAGCGGAGTGGGGCGAGAGCTCTGGTCGGTCTGCTGCAACAGCTGGCCAAGTAATTATTTATTTAATTTTTTGGCCTTTTTATAGGAATAATAACAGTGGGTCAGATCTGAACTTGTTTTTACCTCCTGACTAACCAAGTAAAGTCACCCAACTCGTCAAACCTCCCACTTCACATAGTCAGTGCCGCCTTTCTTTGTGGCGTATCCTAATTTTTGGATAGGTAGATAGCTGTAATGTATTTCATTGTTTAATAAAATGTCAAGTGCATGTTGTCGTGTGGACATGAACAAAACAGCAGTGAGAGTTTAATCGGTTGCCGTTTGATGAACCTGTGTGGGTTTGAAATTTAAAAGCATTGTATTTTAATACACAAGACCTGTTTGTAGGTCAGCTTTAGGGCTGGGTAATATTTATGTCAATATTTTTTAGTCTTTTGATGATATTGAATACATATCTCTATGTATTTATTTGCTCTAAAATTGTCTTTTTTTCTCAGTCAGAAACCATCATTTCAACCAAATAATTCTTGAAACATGGCGCAAAATATGTCCCACAATTTTACAATTTAGTTTTAGAACTGGATAAATTGTCACTTTCATGTCATTTATTCTTCATTCTATCAATAATATTATATTTATATAGTATATTTAATATATAGATATTTATATTGTAATATAAACTAATATAAAATATATTTAATATATTCATTTTTTTTAATAAGTTACTATATATTTTATAACTTCTATCTTCAATTTTATAACTTCTAGATGCCATGTTTTCAGACATGTTTATATTCATTTTTAGACAACACAATACCAATGTTTTAACTTCAGAAGAGGTAAGAAATCATTATTTAGTGGAATAACCCTAATTTTCAATCACAACAAATGAAAACATTTGTTATTTTGACCAATTGTCATTTTCTGCAAAAACAAAAACGCTCAAAATGACAATATTTTTATTTGAAATGTTTTGAATCTTTATAGAATAAAACAAATTTTATAAAGCGGATAGTTCCGGTCCTTGATCCTGATTGGTTGAGCCACGTTCGAAGCTGTTGTAAATTACTCTACAAACACACACCTTTGTTTACGTTTGTTACACTTTGTTGCAACCACAACTGATTCTGAGGAACTACATTGTTTGGTGGAAGAATACTGTTTTTATTAATGTCATTACACTTTATTTGCTTTGTTTTATTTTGTGAAACCTTACTACGTATATGGAATAACCGTTTTATAAAAGCAATAATCCCCGTGAAGCCGTGGTTTACAGTGAATTTATAACAGCTAAGGGGGTTTTAGGCACTCCGCGGCTTCTTGGGGCTTATTGCTTTATTAACATTTTACTCAAACCCATACCTAGTAAATCCACAGAAACTGAGAATTGTCAAGTGGTCTCTTAATGTTTTCCATAATTATATTCTTTTAAATTACGTATATATTTATGTATAATCAACATACTTATGTATTTCATATAGATTCAAGTAGATGTAAAAAAAAAAAAAACAAGTACAAGTATGGTTTTTAAATATACTTTCTACAATGTCCTGACAGAAGGTAATTTTTATACACCTAATTATTTTTTAAGCTTGCACAGATGTGTCTCTACTTGTCAGATATTTTTAAATACATTTAAATCGAGCAATATCAAAGTCATCCTTCATCTTGAAGGTCCTCTCATCATATTTAGCTTGCTATATGTCTAACAACACCACACAGGCTCTGTATGTTTTATTTTTTATTATTTTCTTTAACAAATCATGCTTATTTTTTTTGTTCCACTGCCGTCAGATTTTCTTCAGTAGATGGAGCTGACAATCAGTTTGAAACCATCCTGTATTCTCAATTCATTCTTAACCAAAGATGGATTTATATAGATTATTCATTAATATTTGTAATGACAGTACACCTTTTCATATATCTGATGGTATTGACACATATTGACTGAGGTTAAAAACCCATATTTTGTGAGAAACTGCCAGAAGCAGGAGGTCGTACCCAAAGATAGATCATGTTTAGAACCTGTATCGATGTAGCTAACTTTGTACTATTTACAAATAAAAAGCATGTTAAAATCATTGGTGAATACCACACTACTGTAGTTAGCATTAGTAACAAGTCTTGAGATGTACAGCCGTCAGACCACAGATCCCATTAATCATGCGGCGTGTTTAACTGTGCAGTATGAGTCATGCTCTGGTTTGGCTCTCATACTAGATTTAGTGTATATATTGACCGCTTGATGACTCTTTTACCCACTAATCATTTTATTCTCTCGTTTCATTAGGGACCTGCAACTGGAGGATTTCATTGATCTGTACTGGCGCGATTACCCCTCATTCATCAAAACCTTCAAGGAGGCCTGCGTGATTGATCAAGGTACGAGGCCGATCAATGCGGTCGGGGCCCCTCATTAGCAGCTAAAGGCATTTCTATTCATTTACCAGGCAGTGCTGACTTGCTAGGAGTTCGGCCAGATGTGCTTCTAGCCATGTTTAGGGTTTGAGTGACAGGCCTTGTTGCCATGGGGTAAAATAGACATGAAGTTTTATTTTTCAACTTCAAGACTTGAGGTTAAACAGCCATGAAAAGGTGTCGATGCATTTAGAACAGGAAATATTTAAAGTTTTGTATATTTTTGTGTATATGCAGCTGAACCAGTGTTATTTAGATATTATTCATATACTGTTCATTTTAATTACATTTATTTTAATTGTATTTTTTGTATTTTTGTTATGCACTTTTTGTAATTTTAAGTAGTTTTGCCTAATTTTAAATATGACTATTTAGGCTTTTTTTTCAGTTAGTAAGTACTTGAACTTAAACTAAATGAATATTTGAAATTAGAAAATTAGAAAAAACTGATTTTTAACATTTTCATTTTTAAAACTACATTATTTATTGTTTAATTTATAATATTTTAATAATAGAATTTCTAATAATTATTGCATACATCTTTTTAAAATGTATTTTGTCAGCGTCTTATAAATGTATGAGGGAAAGTGCCTCTTTTTAGATGCATTAACTGGTCATAAGTTAGTTTCTGCTTCTGCTGTCTATTCCATGCACGATACCGTACAAATGTTTGGGGCCATTAAGATTTTTAATTATTTATTTATTTTTGAAAGAAATTAAATGTTTAAATTGATTACATTTAAATTTTTATTGTTTTGAAAAAAATAATTAATTAATAATGAATAATAATTTTATTAATAATTAGTATTAAATGAAAGAAATGGAATACTTGAGTCAATTTAATTCGTCTTTGCCAAATAAAAGTATTACAATTCTTTAAAAAGTAATAAAACATTTTTTTTTCAAATGTAATCAATTTAATGCATCCTTGCTGAATAAAATATGTTTTTATTTTTAAATAATTGCTGTTCTTTTGATCTTTCTATTCATCAAAGAATCCTGAAAAAATGCAACATGGTTTCCACAAAATTATTAAGCAGCACAACTGTTTTAATAATAATAATCTTACTGACCCCATAATATTTTTTTCTGCTCTTGCACAGTTTTACACTGCTGCCAAGTCTTTACATGTCATGTCTTTCATCATGCGCAGCTCAGATGGAGCTGATGACTTGGCCGGTGTTCCTGGACGGGGAGGCCCCGTGTGTGTTCAGCTGGCTCAGTCGCTGTCTGAGAGGGCAAGATGTGACGCCTTTTCCTTGTCTGCCCGGCATCTGTGAGAGAACCAAACTACTGGTGCTGGTAAGGACCCAAATCCTCCCTGTGCCACTGAATATGGTCTTCATGCCTGGTTTTATAGGTGCAATCCAGCTGTATTCTACAACCCAGCTGACTCCTGAAAAATATAGGTGGTCACATCTTTCTCTAATTGTGACCCTGGAGCACAAAAGCAGTGTTAAGTCGCTGGGGTATATTTGTAGCAATAGCCATAAAAACATTGTATGGGTCAAAATTATAGATTTTTCTTTTATGCCAAAAATCATTAGGATATTAAGTAAAGATCATGTTCCATGAAGATATTTTGTAAATTTACTACCATAAATATATCAAAACTTAATTTTTGATTAGTAATATGCATTGCTAGGACCTTCTTTTGGACAACTTTAAATGCGATTTTCTCAATATTTTGATTTTTTTGCACCCTCAGATTCCAGATTTTCAAAGTTATATCTCGGTGAAATATTGTCCTATCCTAACAAACCATACATCAATGGAAAGCTTATTTATTCAGCTTTGAGATGATGCATAAATCTCAATTTCAAAAAATTGCCCCTTATGACTGGTTTTGTGGTCCAGGGTCACAATTGTTCTGCAGTCCGACCAGTTTAGTCCAATTCACAAATGCATGACTGTTATGAGAAGTTATTTTAGTGAATCATTTAAAAAGCCTTCCAAAGTCATTTTGAATCAGTTTGACAAAACTCGATGAACTCACTGAATCAGTCAGAGCGGTTCTCTGACTCAATGATGTCCATCTCGAAATTAAGTGGTTTGTTAAAATGAGTGTTATTACCGACTGCTGACTGTTATACATTACGTTATAGTAATTTAGAGGATAGACTGCATTTAAATCTGATTTTCAATCCCAAAACAGTGTAGATACCGTTCAACATATTTTATTTTAAGTTTCGTTTGCTCGCCGAGGCTGCATTAATATAATCAAAAATACAGTAAAAACAGTAATATTGTGAAAAAATATACAATTTTAATATAGCTTATTTTTAAATATAGTGTAAAAGCGAATTTATTCCTGAGATGCAAAGCTGAATTTTCAGCATCATTACTCCAGTCTTCAGTGTCACATGATCATTCAGAGATTATTCTAATATTCTGATTTACTGCTCAAGAAATATTTCTTGATCAATTTTTAAAACAGTTGTGCTACTTAATATTTTTCTGGAAACCGTGATTCATTTTATTTTTCAGGATTCTTTGAAGAATAGAAAGTTGCATTTATTAAAGAGAAATCTTTTGTGACATTATAAATGTATTTGCGGTCTCTTTTGATCACGTTAATGCATCTATTCTGATTAAAAGTATTAATTTCTTTTTAAAAAATCGAACTGACCCCAAACTTCTGAACGAGTGTTGGATGATGCCCAACAGGGGGCGCTAACAGCGAGTAGAGGAACCGGGTGTCGTGCCCTTAACTCTCTCACACACACACACACACACACACACACGTTCTATGGAAATGTCAAGCAGTTAGATGGCAAAGTGCTGCAAGCTAATCATAATGACATTTCATGAGCACTGAGTCGTCCCTGGGCGTCCTGTGAGTGTGTACGTGAGCGGCACAGATGCCCCACCTTAATTAGTCCGAATCACTCGATAGGGCCGTATGAGGGGTGACGGGTGTCATGGTGTGTGTGTTTGTTCTGTACTTCCTTCCATCAGGCAAAGCGAAGTGACGCACAACCCCACGAGGTGCTGACAAACCGTTACGCAATTATGGGCCATGTTTACCCTACCGTTCCTGTCCCTTAGATTAGAGTCCAGAACATTAGAGCATCCATTTTATCCCTCCATACTTACACTCCCACTGCCTCTCTCTCTCTCGCTCTCTCTCTCTCTCTCTCTCTCTCTCGCTCTCTCTCGTTTCCAGCCCCTTTCTTTCTCCCTATAATATTAGTGGTAATTGCTAAGGAAAGCATCAGCATTATTATGGCTCACGCAAAGAATTGTAGGTTTTTGAGGAGAGGTGTGTCGTTCTTTTTCTAAGATATCAGACTTAAGATTTTCACCTGTTTGGACACTTAAACAGGTCAAATAGTCCCTTAGGCTTTGAAGAAAGGACCCAAGCCATATCTGTACTGACAACAATTTGGTGTAGGATTTATATGAAAACAATTTTCACTCAAGAATTGCTGGTACATTTCCCAAAGAATTACAAAGAAAACACTTAGAATTAAACATGAAATCTTGAAGTAGAAGGACTAAGATAGTATTTTCTTGTAAAACATAATCTGGTAAACTTTTATGTACAAGTTCGAAAAACTTTTTTTTATTTTTTATACAGTGTTGAGACCAGAATATCACAGAGACTTTGTGGTTTTATTCTTTTGAAGCTACCTATCTATCCTCTGCCTTAGACTGTACATCCACAGTCTGTTCAGAAGTCTTAAAGTACTTGGCTGATGATATAAGCACTTGTGAGAAAGAACTAGTTGCTGGATGTGCCAAAATTTACCAGGGTATTAGTGGTTTCAAAAGTACTCAGTTTTGCTTAAGCCACTAGTAGTAAGCAAGGTTAACTTGGTCAATGTACAGATAACTGTTGTTTTGGTATTATTTATATACTGTTTATATACTATTTTGAATTAGCTTTATTTTTATATTTTTAGTTTTCATGATAATTTAGTAATTTTACGTGGTTTTGCCATTTTTTTTTTTTATATTTCTAAATAGTTTTAATTTATTTTTGTTTCAGTTTTAGTTTTATTTGCATTAATTTTAGAAGTTTCAGGTACTTTTGGTACTTCAACTTCAACTTATTTTCATTAGTTGGCAAGGCAAAAGTTTAAAACTTTCATCTTTATATTTGTATTTTATTTATTTTTGCTTTATTTCAGTTAACAAAATGTTTATTTATTTTTTTATATAGTTTAAGTTAACTGTAACCATGTTGGGGCGAAACCTGAACATCCGAGGTTGTGACTAAATCCTGCTTTATTTCTTCTCAGTTTAGCTTTATTTCACTTAATACAATCAATTTGAAAAGTTTCAGTTAACAACAAAAACATTGGAACAGATTTCGGGCCAATACAATAACCATAACTCCAAACTGTCTTCCTGCTTTATTTATCAAGTGCATTTTGGTGATTTTGTCATTTTTATTAGTTTTTTCCCCCCCCAAATAATTTAAATTTCTCAGCTGCATTTGAAATTGATGTTCTGATTAAGCCGCATTACATGTGACCTGTGGTTATGATGCATGCAGTCATGCGTGTGGTTGATGACTGTGCTCCTGCATCGCGTCATGATGAAACATGTTCATTCTCCCCAACTGTCATGACAGCAGCAAACCAAAACCACACAGGTGCTGTCCCACTGCTAATACTAACTCTCTTTTTACTCCCTGTCCTCTTCCTCTCTGTCTGTCTCTCAGAGTTATGCCCTGTATGTGGTTGGAGATGAGGATGCGATCTCGACAAACATGTTGAAGTACCTCTCCAGGCTGTCAGCAGGTGGGTTAGAGGCTAATGAGAGGCTCTTCACTCTCCTCAGGCCTGACACTAGACTTCTTGTCAAGCATGTACACTAATAAGTAGGAGGATAAAGTCATTTATTTATTACCCATATGGTAATTTGGATGCACAAATGTAGACGTTTTGGCCAATACTGATATCATACATTTTAAAACTAGATTGTTCATCAACAGTGAACCAGTTCGCCAAAATATTGAGACTAGACTAAACTGAAAATTTAATTTCTGTGTAACTCCATTGATTTTGCATGTGTTATTTTAGAATAGAGAAATAATTTTGCACATAAAAGGCCTTTTACATTAAACAAAATATTTGTGTTTCAGTCATTCAAAAACTGTCCTATTAAATTAAATGCAATAATTTATGTAAGAATGTTTTTAAGTGCACAGAAGTTTGTTTGTGTTTCATGATATAATGTGATGGAATAGTCAAAAGATTTTTAAATGTTTAACCAATCAAATTAATTGCAGTCAATTTACAAACATTTTGTGTACATCACAAATATTTGTACATAAAATTGATTTTAGACCGAGTCTGGGACAAAAACTCTTATTATCTGTTTCTGTTTATATATTTATATAATAATAAAAATTATGAATATTGAGCTATACAGATTTTTTATTTAATGTTTTTTTTATTTAATAATTTAGCAGACACTTTAATCCAAAGCGACTTACAAATGAGGAGAACAATAGAAGCAATACGGATATATGTGCATCCTAAGTAGTACTATTGTTTTATATACTGATAGTTTTCATTAGCGCTTATCAAATGATCAGTGTATTTTGCTGTTTATTTTTTATTTTTTTCGAACCTACACTACAATTCAAAAGTTTGGGGGCAGTAAATCATTCTAATATGCTGATTTGCTGCTCAAGAGACATTTCTTATTATCAACGTTGAAAACAGGTGTGCTGCTTTATATTTGTGTGGAAACCATGATACATTTTTTTTTGTTTAGGGTGAATAAAAAGTTCGAAAGAACAGCATTTCTATCATGACAACTCTCTGAACATTTTAGCATGGTAATGGATATGACAATGTTAATGTGTTTGGTCTTGGCAGAATAGATATGTTGTTGTAGATTATTGCTGCTGCTGCTGCAAAGCAAGGAGCTTGCTACTGCCAATACATACACCGATACGGTGCTGTGAGTATTTAAGACATACTGCTGCTGCACAAATAGCAGGTGGAGCTGGGGAAGGGGGAGGGTTTCAGAGGAACTCTGAAAGCTTGCTGCAAAATGCTCTAGTGAATGCTAACCAGCCATTTAAATGTAAAGCAGCAAGCTCATTGGCTGTGTATGCAACATGTACCAATCAGCTTGTGCCAAGTAGTTTAATGCTGTGAATATCATCAGTTTGCGTTAAGGACTCATCAGCCTGCACCATCTAGAGTTTCCTGACAGAGCTTGGCATTTATTTGAAATAGAAATCTTTTATAATATTAAAATGTCTTTTATTGTCACTTTTGATCAATTTAATGCATCCTTGCTGAATAAAAGTATTAATTTCTTAAAAAAAAAAAATACTGGCCCTAATCTATTGAATGGTAGTGTATATTTTATTTTATTGTTATATTTTATTTTTTCATATTCTAGCTGATCAAGTACATTGGATAATGCGAAAATGAATAGGTGAGTGTATATTTATTGCTTTAACATTTTTGGTCCATGTTTTCGCAGGGCAAAAGAAAAACACGAGTGATCCTTTTCTGAGAAGGTACCTATGGTTTATGATTATTGTCATGTGCCTTATGTTTGTTTTTCTAGATAAGTCTCAGCTCATAAATACTAGTCAGCTGATTCAGTTTCTCCAGTGCGTTTGCTTGTGGGGTGTGTTTCACAGGCAGAGCAGCGTGAAGCCCGCACCTTCGTCTGGATCCCTGGCTGAGAAGCTGGTGGTGTGGTTGACCTCTGCAGGTCAGTGACACAATCAACACAAGTACACACCTGCGAGTATGATTGCTTGGCCAACACATTGCAAGTCCCATACTTAACATGCAGTACTCAGTACCCCGGTACTCAAGGGGGCTATAAAGTTTCCTTCAGATGTCATTAATTAAAATCATTATTTCAGATAAGCTAGCTATAAACATGTAAACAACTTTAACTTGCTTAGCATGATTATGTTGCTATGCCATGGCAGTAGTTTACCTGAAAGACAGAAAAATTCAGTGCGTACCTCCATTTGGACATTTCGAAAAGCAACAAGTAAAATTTAATTTGCATTCACGTACATGTGAAGTATGTTTTATGCCTTATATCAGGCTCACTGTCCTTCTAAAGCCACTAAATTTCTATTAAATGTAGCTTTGAGTGTAGATCAGAGTCCTGCACGCTTTGTTGGTTTACCTTAGTTTACATTAGATTAGATATATAAGATCTTTATATCCTGTCACGAGGGGTGTGTGACTACACACTATTTTACATGCTTGTTTTTTTACCTCAGGATTTACATTGAAGGATCTGGAGTCGGTTCCGTTTGGTGTGGCTCTGCCAATCAGAGACGCCATCTACCAATGCAGAGAGCATCCCTGCTCTGATTGGTCTGAAGAGGTCTGCGCTCTGATTGGGCGACAGGACCTGACTAAACAAGCTCACAAAGTGACCCTTGCCAATCGTAAATCGGTAAGAAAGTGAATTGGTTGTATAGGAACAAGTTCTTACTTTGCCATTTGAATTATATTATTATTGTTTTATTGTGAAAAGTGAACATATATTAATATTTATAAATACTGTAATGAGTACTAATACTAATAAATTTGAATTAGCTTTTATATGTTCAGTTTTTTATTTTAAGTTTAGTTTAATTTCGTAATCTTTGGTGATGTGCTTTTGTAATTTTCTTTCATTTTAGTGTTTTTTTTGTTTGTATTTTTATGTTGCTTTATTTTTCAGTTTGAGTAATTTTAGTGCTTTTTTTAAGGTCATGTTTTTCATTTAATATTTTATTTTATTTCAGCTTTATTTCAATTACCGAAAATTATTTTTTAATAATGTTCAACATAGTTTCAGTTAACAGTAGCAACACTGTTTATTACTAGATAAAATGTGAACTATCCTGTATTAAGACAATAGTAAAATAGTTTATCATAGAAGACAAAAACATTTTACAAAAAGGTATCTGACTATTTTAACTGTTGGCGTTGCTTTCATTTTTATCGTGCTTCTAATGAAAAATTAACTTATATTATTCATGTGTTCACACTCACTTGTATATTTATTATCATACAAAGTGTCAAATAGAAACCTAGAGCACTTAGCAGGGGGTCAAAACAGATTTCTAAAGCTATTTTTGGCTTTCCAAAAACAATGTTGAATTATTGTCTCCTGGATGATGGCAGTGCTGAAAATATCTGCCGTCCCCAGTTAAAACAACTACTGTCTGAATAGGGCTGAAAACTTGAAGATGGTATTTAAGACCGGTATTATCTCGTTTTGAATGTGTAATTACTGTAATTATGATATGAAGTGAATGCTGCATTATAAAGTAATTATAAAAGGACTGAATTGTCCACACTCAAGGACAATGTAGTTTCATTGTACATTCAGTGCTGTTTGTGTTTTCCCTAGACTGTGGGTCTGAATGTTATGCTTGAGCCGCCAGTGACCAGTGAGGCCGATGAGGAGGAGGACGGTATGACAGACCTGCACCCAGAGGTGACGGGGCTGATCTGGAGTCAGGATCTGAGGGTACAGGAGGTCCGCCGTCTGCTCCAGAGCTCCAGACCCATCCGGGTCAATGTGCCCCACCTGCCTGAAGTCAGTGACCATGAGTACATAGAGGAGAAAGAGAACAAGTGAGCATACTCAGTCTGATATTTCTGCACACTCTTAAAACTAAAGGTTCTTTATTGGGATCTATGGTTCCATTACGAACCTTTAACATCCACAGAAACTTTCAATTCCACAAAAGGTTCTTTAGATTAGAAAATGGTATGGTTCACAGAAAGGTTCTTGGGAACCAAAGACGGCTCTTCTATAGCATTCACTCTTAAAAATAAAGGTTCTTTATTGGCATCTATGGTTCCATGAAGAAGATTTAACATCCATGGAACCTTTCCGTTGCACAAAACATTCTTTATACAAAAGGTTTTCAAAAGTTTTTTTTTTTTTCTTTCTGCGATGCCATAGAAGAAGCAGTTTTGGTTCCCCAAAGAACATTGCATAAAAGAACCGATTTTCCTTAGTGTGAAACACATTTTACAAATCTAAAGAACTTTTTCCTGAACCTTTTGTGCAATGGAAAGATTCCATCGATGCCAATAAAGAACCTTTGTTTTTAAGAGTGTATTGTGGAAAAAGGTTCTTCAGATTAGAAAAAAATGCCTCTGTTGTAACCGTTCACAGAAACCCAAAATGATTCTTCTGTGGCTTCACTGTGGCCAAAACCCCCTTTATTTTTATGATTGTTGCTGTGAAAATGTGCTTTTTGAACCTTTATTTTTACGAGCGTAGGTTTCTGTGAGAACTAAGTTAAGAAAGTAAACACAAATGTGCTGAAATGCACCCAGGAAGTGTTCTTTTCTAAATCTGCGCCCTTCTCTACACTTAAATTCAGCATTGCTCTTCTTATTTTTGTTGCAGGCTGCTGCAGTTGTGCCAGCGCACTATGGCTCTTCCGGTGGGACGGGGACTCTTTACTCTTTTCTCATACCATCCTGTGCCAACCGAACCACTCCCTGTGCCCAAACTCAACCTGACTGGTACTCTCATAAACCACCGCCCATGCTTTTGAAGTGTCCTAATGAATAGTTTTACAGGGCTAGCAAACAGTTTTTAAGAGCTCTGTTGAATTTCGTTTGGAAGTAACTGTGCCCAGACGTTGCAAACCTTTCCCACCACAGTGTTGTGTCTTTCACTCTATCTTCAACAATTTCATGTCAGTTAAAGAGAAAAAACGTTTGCCCAGGACCCTCAGTGGTCTTTGCTGTTTTCTAAGGCAAGCATCACCATTGCTCATATGTAGGGATTTGAACAACGAAGATATCATTTCAATTTTGGGTGGGCTTTTTCAACTTGGACTACTAAGTAACTACCTATAAACGACCCAGAATGCCCTAGCAACTGCATAGCAACACCCTGGTGACCACACACAAAAAATATTTGAAAATTTAAGATTCATGTATTTGAATTGCATATAAAATTTCCATTTTAACATGAAATATTAAACTTAATGCGATTCGTATTTGTCAGTCATACATGAATGAAACGGGTGAGAAACAGGTAAGCTTTCTGCACCATGCAAAAACTGCTGGCAAAATGATGGCATTTTTGCATCTGATTTTTGATTTGATATTACTTAAAGAATGAATGTTTTCAAAATGCATTTCTTCAAACAGCTTAGAATCATCATAAATCTGGTCATTGTGAAAACAATTCAATGTATTTGGTTAAAATGTATGAACATTGTGAAAATATGGCTTGCTGTGGAATAAGCAATCTTCAGGTGTTTCATGTGAGATTGAAATGATTTGGATTTATTGATGATACATATATAAACATGGTTATTGTGTATTTAAAGGGGTCCTATTATGCTCTTTTACAAAGTCTTGATTTTGTTTTGGGGGTGTACTAGAAGCTCACATACTAGGTTGTTCGAAAAAACACATTATTTTTCACATATTTTACATTATTACAACACCTCTCTCCCCAGTCTGGCATGGTTCATTTTCAAATGAAGGCCTGCCTTCTGAAATATGAAATGTGCTGTGATTGGTTAGCTGGGCCAGTGTGTGCTGTGATTGGTTTGATGCTCAAACAGCAACATTACAGACTTAACTAAAGTTGAAAAGGTGAAAAAGCATAATAGGACCCTTTTAAAACAGATCCAGTTTTTTAGTACTTTTGCAGAAATCTGACCTGTTTCTTACCCGTTTCATTAATGTATGACTATGTATTACATTAATTTCTTAGTTTAAAACTGTAATCCAAATGGATGGAAATTTTATTTGCAATTACTTACAGAAGTACATAAATCTTATCTAATTATTTTTTAACTGCACCCACAAGTGCAAAATGGCAATTTTAGTTAATGCTTTATAGAAGCATTTTTATTGAAAGACCTCTTCCTCTGTAATTTACTAGCTAAAGGGCACTAAAATGCTACCTTTTTATGTCTTTCCTCACTTTCCCACCATTTTTTTATTTTGTACGTTATTTTTGCTGAACCCAGCAAACAATTCAATGTGAATAATGTCCCTTCTCTTTTGTCTTCTCCACCCCAGGCCGCGCTCCTCCCAGGAACACCATGGTGGACCTGAACAGCGGTAACATCGATGTGCCACCCAACATGACCTGCTGGCCCAGCTTTCATAACGGAGTGGCGGCTGGCCTTAAGATCGCCCCTGCCTCTCAGGTGGAATCTGCCTGGATTGCATACAACAAACCCAAAAGTGCTGACCTGGCCAATGAATACGCCGGTTTCCTCATGGCCCTGGGCCTCAATGGCCACCTCACTAAACTAGCAACACTTAACATCCATGACTACCTCACCAAGGTCAGTTACAGCCTCAGTTGGGTGCTTATGTTGATTGTAGTCTTTATGAACTTCAATAATGAGTTTTAGGTCTAGAAAATGACCCTCCAATGAACGTGGGCAACAGGATATGATGTCACTCTCCATGGTCCAGGGATATTTTATTATTATTTATAACATAGTATTATATATAATAATTATAAGTTTCAGTAGTTTTTAATTAATATATAAAATAATTATTTTGAATTTTTTTATTCCGTTTATTTGAGTATTTTTGTCATTTTTATTAGTAATATTAAAAGGTTTAATAAATTTTTTATTTCAGTTTTAGTTTGTATTTATTTCCAATATCCAATATTTTAGTGCTTCAACTCAAGCTTACTATTAGTTTTTCATCTAATATTTATCATTTAATTTATATCCGATTATTTCAACTAGCAAAAAAGTTTTTGTGGTAGTTAATAGTTTAATAGTTTTAGTTTCTGCTAATGATCATATTAATGTATAGCACACTCAAACGTGATTTATTTGATATCATGAATGATAATATTTATAGACAACATTTTGTTATTAGTCAGCATACAGATTATTTTTATGTAATATAAACATATTATAAAATATGATTATACACGTATAATTATATTAAAATTAAAATATAAAAAAGTAGACAAACATGTGAAACGAGCATACTACTTAGGCTGGCGACTTCTCACAAATACTAGGTAAAGTCTCATAATTTAATATAGATATATTGATGAAAATTACAGGCCTCTCTCATCTTTTTAAGTGGGAGAACTTGCACAATTGGTGGCTGACTAAATACTTTTTTGCCCCACTGTACATATTATATTAATTTACACTTTTTGGTTTGGTCCTACGGCCCTGTTTTTTTAATAAACACTGCATTTGCAAGCATATCGATGCAAGTGAAACACAAAATCTTGTGTGACCACCTGTAAGACATCGGCAGATGTTTGCTAAAGATGGCCCAGATAACCAATCCCATACAGCATGTGACGAATCCAAACATTCAGGATGATTCATCTTAGATTACGTGAGTCACCTGCACTTATCTATAATGCAGATCTAAGTGGGAATCAGGAGTTTGCGGGCGATGGTAATTCAAGTGGTTATTCAGAGGAACAAAACGAAACCAATTTGGCATAATGACTTTTATTGGAATTGAAGGAGTTATTAAGAAAAGTTAGGTTTTGCTTAATAAGAATTGGACACTCGGTGATGAAGTGCACTGCAGAAGTAGGTTTGAAATCGAATATATTTTTTAAGGCCAAGATGGCATCTTTCCTCCTAATGGACCCTCAGTTCATAGAGGCTCTTCCTGAAAACCAAACCTCTCTTCCTCCTCCTCCTCCTCGTAATTTTCTTATCTCGCCATTTTTAGCATCGGAGCTGTCAGGTTTGCATGTTTTCTGGGGTTTTTGCTCTCATCCTGTTGTTTTTCTCACATGAAAGGCAAACGTAGAGCTGAGTTTCATTCTGACAGTTCACAGGGCAGTAACGTGTGCTGCTCTCTCTCATTTCCAGTCAGGCCAGGCTTTGTTGATTCTTTCTGTGGTCGCTGAGCGTATCTGTAATCTATAAGATATATCGAGCCTTTAGCTAGCTTGGTGTTTACACTGCCCGCTCTCACACTGAGATCTGCGGCCGGGCTTTCTAGTCTCTGGTAGTACTCCTGCCGATTTTACAAGACTCTGGTAGAAAAACATCCTGTTTTACTTCATGCACATGTAAAAATGAATGAATGAGTGAGTTTAATGAATGAATAAAGTGTTAATGTGAGTACCAAGGTTGCACAGCTCACTGTAAGTCCATTCTGTGCTTGAATGGAGAGAGATTGCTGTTTGAACTTTTAGTCAGATCATGAAATATGGACACACTGACTCTGCCCAACACTCTGCTGCCTGCATAGGGACAGCATCCAATTGTAATTGAACCTCAAGTGACTGATTGGGAGCGCTCTACATAGGCAGCAACTTGTACATCACATAAATCTTCATGCAAAAGGCACTGGAGACTCAACTCTAGCATGTTGCTAATCTAACTTTTGCAGTGTTTGGGAAGATGCGGGTTATTGCTGCTAGTATATAATAACTGTGAGCTGTGGTATTGGATTAGCATTCCATGATGTGGTGAGAATCACATTAATGCATAGTACATAGCACAAATATGGGGCAAACTTTTTATTTATTTTATATCATGAATAATATAATTATATATTTCTATTAATATTTATAGATTTATTTTATATTTTAAAGATGTATATATTTATATGAATATTTATTAATAATTATAATCAACATTTTGTTATTAGTCAACATATTTTTAAATAAGTATAATGTAAATATTTATGATTATTTTTATTGTATTAAAATATTATAAAGATTTAAAAAATATAAAAGTTGTATCATATATAATTTTATATATCGTGATATTTATTATTTTGTTTTTGTAATGTGTTTTATAAATTTTTTTACATATTATAAATTAATATATATATTTTATCACTTTTTTTTTTTGTTTTTTTGTCTTGATGTTTTTTTTTTCTTGTCTCCTCTGACTCAGGGTCACGAGATGACGAGTATCGGGCTGCTGTTGGGTGTTTCTGCTGCCAAACTGGGCACCATGGACATGTCCATCACCCGTCTGCTAAGCATCCACATTCCCGCGCTGCTGCCGCCCACCTCCACTGAGCTGGATGTTCCTCACAGCGTGCAAGTGGCTGCTGTGGTCGGCATTGGCCTGATTTACCAGGGCACCGGGCACCGGCACAATGCAGAGGTGTTGTTGGCAGAGATCGGTTAGTGTGTGTGTGTGTGTGTTGGCATGAAATAAAATGAGCTGTTGTTCTCATTTGTGCTCATTCATGATTGAATAATTATTTAAGGGTCATATCTGAGCCTGTAACAGCTGTGTGTTGTGTTGTTCCCAAGGACGTCCACCTGGTCCTGAGATGGAGTACTGTACGGATAGGGAGTCCTACTCCCTAGCAGCAGGACTGGCACTTGGCATGGTCTGCCTGGGAGTGAGTGTGTTTCCAAAGCATTTTGTGAATTGTATCCTGTTCCATGCATAGTCAGCAACCAGCTTGGAGGAGCACAATGGTCAAAAAAAATCCCTAAATTAACCACTTTTCCCACAGAACTAAAAAATAACACACACTATCATTATTGTCTTTAGTCATGTGCAGTGTGTACATGTGCAGTGTGCAACTTCTCAAAAATGTGTTTTAGTCTTTCTGAAGTAGTATTTTTTTGTAAAAGCAATATAATGTAATGTTATATATTTTTAATTCAATTTATTTTATTAAAAATATATAAATATAAAATAAATATAGCAGTATAGTATATAAAATATTTAAAAATATATTATATATATAATATTAAATATAATATCATACAGTAAAATTGATCATTGAAGAATTTAATTGAGCAAAAATAGATGCAGAATAAATATTTGAATTTAAGGAAGTAAAATTCTAAAATAGAATAAGATTTAAATAAAATTATAAAATTGATCTAAGCTGCTTTTAATATAGTGGGTAATATTTGGTGTGAATTACCCATAAACACATTTTCATGCATACAAATTAGGGGCTATTTTCAAAATAAAACTGATTATATGAGTAATATTTAAAATCAAATGCCGTAATCTGCAGTAATTTGTTTTTATTTGTATTTTACAGTAGCGGTGTTTATTATGAAAAGCATGCAAACTCCTTCAGCAAAAGCATGCATTGTGTGGGAACCAGAATTATTCTCACGCTGACCCAGCTGTTTGCTCTCTGCTTCTCTGCAGCATGGCAGTAACCTGATCGGGATGACTGACCTGAACGTGCCCGAGCAGCTCTATCAGTATATGGTGGGAGGTCATCGGCGCATGCATGCTGGCATCAACAGAGAGAAACACAAGTCTCCCAGCTATCAGATCAAGGTGGAGTCATGACATAACCATCAAAGAGCTTTTATTCATCTGGAGATTTCTATATGCTGAGAATGATGCCACACCTCTCATGTGGTCGTGTTTGACAGTTTAAATTAACGTATGAGCAAGCAAGGGTTGTTCAGAACACAATGCTTATGCTGCTGAGATAGTCTGGTGCTGTGAACAGTATGTAACAATAAACAAAAGTATGCTGAAATTTCAAATGTCCCAGTTAAACATTTTTTTTTTATAAATAAATATATATATATATATTAGGGCTACCACCTAATAGTCGACTAACCGTTAGTCGACCAGAAGAGGCTTGGTCGACCAAAAATTGCTTAGTCGCAGAAAAAAAAAAAATCCACAGGTGAAAGTCAAGCAGTTTGTGACGGACAGATCGTTAATGGCTAGTCAATGGTAATACAGTAGCCTACATCAGGCAGGACATCCAAACGCTCACCTATCATTCCACAACAAATATAGCCCGTTAGTCGACCAGAAGAGGCTTGGTCGACCAAAAATTGCTTAGTCGCAGAAAAAAAAAAATCCACAGGTGAAAGTCAAGCAGTTTGTGACGGACAGATCGTTAATGGCTAGTCTATGGTAATACAGTAGCCTACATCAGGCAGGACATCCAAACGCTCACCTATCATTCCACAACAAATATAGCTCATCTGAAATATGTAAGTATTAGCAACTTTACATGACCACTCAATCTAATGTTAGGCTAACCTAGAAAAATGTGCGATATTGAAGTGTCTGTGTGGAGTGTAGATGCGCGCTCACTGCAGGACAGATGGAGGCGCCGGTGCGGTCACTTGCTTTTTAAATACTCCATCATTTCTGGTCATACAGATAAGAGTAATACATCTTTTGAATCTGTAAAGACTCTACGTTTATTTATGTGCACTCACAATAACAACAAAACATTTGTGCTTTTGTAAAATAATGAAAGCAAACAGGATCTGCTTTCTGCCGTCGCGGTCTCCGTGAACTTGAGCGCGAAACTCCGTGTATGCTTGCCTTACAGACAGAGAAAAAATATATCAATAAAGAGTGAAATGTACGGTGGCCGAGAGAGCTCAACGCGCTGCAAATAGAAAAAACACCTGCAAATTAAGAAAGCAACTTAATCAATTTGCCAACACACGTGCTGCAAATGCTCACAACACAATAAAGAAACGCACTGCAAATAGAAAAAAGCGCATGACATAATCCGAGAATATTTGTTTTCTATTTGATTTGGTTAATTTGGAAGTAGACATTTCTACGGTGGCCGAGAGAGCTCAACGCGCTGCAACTTCAGAAAACACATGAAAATAGAAAAAGCACCAGCAAATTAAGAAAACAACTTCATCAATTTGACAACACACGCGCTGCAAATACTCACAACACAACCCAATAAAGAAACGCAATGCAATTACTATTCTTTATTTGGTTGTGTTGTGAGCATTTGCAGCACTTGCTGTCAAACTGATGAAGAATGTTTTCTTGATTTTTCTATTTTCATGTGTTTTCTGAAGTTGCAGCGCGTTGAGCTCTCTCGGCCACCGTAGAAATGTCTACTTTCAAGTTAACCAAATCAAATAGAAAACAAATATTCTCGGATTATGTAGTCCGTATGAAACATGCAGGCGCATCTGCGGAGATGACGAGTTACATTGACTTAATGCACACACACACAATAAACAAAAGTATGTTGATTTTTTTTAATGTATATATATATGTATGTGTGTGTGTGTGTGTGTATGTATGTATGTACGAGAGAGCTCAACGCGCTGCAACTTCAGAAAACACATGAAAATAGAAAAAGCACCAGCAAATTAAGAAAACAACTTCATCAATTTGACAACACACGCGCTGCAAATACTCACAACACAACCCAATAAAGAAACGCAATGCAATTACTATTCTTTATTTGGTTGTGTTGTGAGCATTTGCAGCACTTGCTGTCAAACTGATGAAGAATGTTTTCTTGATTTTTCTATTTTCATGTGTTTTCTGAAGTTGCAGCGCGTTGAGCTCTCTCGGCCACCGTAGAAATGTCTACTTTCAAGTTAACCAAATCAAATAGAAAACAAATATTCTCGGATTATGTAGTCCGTATGAAACATGCAGGCGCATCTGCGGAGATGACGAGTTACGTTGACTTAATGCACACACACACAATAAACAAAAGTATGTTGATTTTTTTTAATGTATATATATATGTATGTGTGTGTGTGTGTGTGTATGTATGTATGTATGTGTATATATATATATGTATATGTATGTATGTATGTATGTATATATATATAAATGTATGCATTTGAAAATTTTAATTTAATTTGTATTTAAGGAAGTAGAATTCGATTGTATGCATAACATTTCAAATGACATCTACAGAAATTTTTATTTATTTATATTTTGATAAATTAGTATGGTAGCATTCTGAACTTAACCTTACACTGCATTATCTAATAAGGTTCAGAAGGCAACACAGATTAAATGTAACTGTTTTTGTTAGGAGGGTGACACTATCAATGTGGACGTGACCTGTCCTGGTGCAACACTCGCCCTAGCCATGATTTACCTGAAAACAAACAATAGGTGAGTTTTAATGGAAAAACCAAAGAATGACATATTAACATATTAACTAATAATAACATATATGTGACCCTGGACCACAAAACAAGCCTTAAGTGTCAAATTTTCAAAATTGAGATATATAGACATCATCTGAAAGCTGAATAAATAATCTTTCCATTGATGTATGGTTTGTTAGGATAGGACCATATTTGGCCGAGATACAACTATTTGAAAATCTGGAATCTGAGGGTGCAAACAAATCAAAATATTGAGAAAACCACCTTTAAAGTTATCCAAATGAAGTTCTTAGCAATGCATATTACTAATCAAAAATTAAGTTTTGATATATTTACGGTAGGAGATTTACAAAATATCTCCATGAAACATCTTTGGCATAAAAGAAAAATCTATAATTTTGACCCATACAATGTATTTGTGCTACAAATATACCCCAGCGACTTAACACTGGTTTTGTGGTCCAGGGTCACATATGTAGAAATTGACAGGCTCCTCAAACCAACAGAGCGTTCTTTTGAAAGAGTCCGTGTTACGCTCTCCGGAAAGTCAACTAACAAATTAGTAATAGTTGCCTGTGTGCAGTAAACCGGAATAAGAAATAGTATTTTAACATCCCAATAATCACACACTTCACCTTTAAAGTAAAATCCATTATTCATTGTGATGCTGAAAGTCTCTTTCCGTGTGAATAAGGCTGACATCTTCCTCATCTTCAGCTCTTATGTTCAGTGCAAGGCCTCTTTCGGTCCTGTCTGCTCTCTCACATTCACACCTGTCTCTCTGGACCCCTCCAGGTCTGTAGCTGATTGGCTGAAAGCCCCGGACACCATGTTCCTGCTGGACTTCATCAAGCCTGAGTTTTTGCTGCTGAGGGTGAGAGAGAACGTTACAGGGACGGCAGCCATCAGAAGTTCATTCTGGCCTCTGGGCTCGCAGGAACTTATACATTAACACCTCACGATGGGTTCAGTCACACTTTTTTACCAAGTGTTCTCATGTTTCGTAATGGCTTTTCAGGCAACATATGGAGTCATTTTAGCCTGTTGTGCTTGTTAACCAACAGGAAGGTCACTTGTTTCTCAGATTCTTCTGAACTGTTCTGAAACCTAGAGTGCTGCCTTCGTAGACTGCGTGTTAAGACTATTCCGAATTTCTATCTATTTTTTCGTTTGAATTCGTTTGACCAAATTCAAAAGGAGTACTGCATATTCACCTTATTTCGCAATGTGGAAAAAACTATTTTCTTTGAATTTGATACTTATGATTCATTAGCTGCTATAGGCAAATAACTAGCAGAATAACTAAGTGCAGTAAACAGTAGAACTATTTGCACTACATCCGTTTATGATTATGATAATGAAAACAAATATTTCATAACAAGTACAAGTTTGCAATATCAAGCAGCACAACAGACTTTAATTACAAATAAATTATTTTGCCCAGTATTCTGTCATGTAATTCATACGCCAATTAAATTTCCTTCCATGAGCTTAACAAGCGTTTACCACGCTCGTAAATGTTTTTATTTTAATTTTTGCACTGAAACGTAGATAATAAAAAAATATTTTTTTTAAAGATGTAAATTTTAATATCATATATTTGAACAAAATAAAATTTTTGGCCCTTTGTAGTAAAAAGTAGAGGTCGACCTATGTGGATTTTTGGATGGCCAAATATAAATACGACTGATATAAAGCCGATATAGGCCTTTCATATTGAAATGAGATAGTATAACAGAAGATGTATATCAATAAAAATCTATATTTATTTTAACATAATATTTACTAAAATAATCAATAAATAATTAGAAAATGAATTGAACTAGATAAATCTTTAAAATAAACAGATTTATGCTTTATTGATTCTGTAATCCTATTATAATATTTTTCACAAATAAAAGGGAGGAAAAACACAAATAAAGCAAACACTAACCAACAGTACACTCAGTAATCTACTAAGACACTGCGAATTATTTTCTCAAATAAAGACCAAGTAATGCTAATTTCACATACAAAAAAAGTCAAAATAAAAGTCCCACTTATCGGCCAAAACAGAAGAAACATTGGTTCAAAAATGCCAAATAATGGCGTTTTTGGACCAGTAGTAAAACATTGAGGCGTCTCTGCACTAGATGGACGTATTTGACCATTGCACTCGCATCTTGTGTTTCACAGCATCTAGTGCATGAGTGCCATGTTTTTAGAACACTGTGTCAAGTTAAAATAAGTTTAACTTAAAAAAATAATAATAATTTCCCCCCACTGCTCTGCATCTCAAGTTTCTAAACAAAAATGTGTTTGATGTGAACTGCTTCTTAGAAGGCAACTGCCAAGTAGACAAGCCAGCTCGCTAGGTTTTGGAACAGAGCCTTTGTCATACAGGGTTTAACCAATAACCACAAAGACTTACAAAGAAAGGGATGTACAAATATTTCCTTTTTTACAATTCAGCGTAAAACTTTTATTCATAGCAAGCTCTTTGTGTTTAGTAGCTGTGTCTTTGTTCTCACTACAGACGCTGGCCAGATGTCTTATCATGTGGGACGAGATCTTTCCCAATGCTGATTGGGTGACCAGTAATGTGCCTCAGGTATGTTAGAGCTGTAACACACTGCAGGGACTCATCCAGCATTACGTTCTGTTTCCAACTAGTTTCTCAAGAGGAAGCATATTTTGGCCTCAGGTCATGTTTTCGTTTCCTGTTCCCCTGTAAGTTCATAGGTTGGTCAAATATTTAGCAATGCTTTTGTTGCAAAATGCAGAGCTGGTTGGTCACTTCAGCTATAGAGGAAGTGTGCAGGTCATTGAGCAAGAGAGGAGGGAGAGGAAGGTCAATGAGAAGTGCATATTTTAATCGTGAAGTCACTTCACCATGCTGCAGTTGTTGCAGATCCAATTTATATAGATTTTATTCAATCTGCTTTAGAACATCACACAGAAATAGTTCAAAACCGACTGTTTCTGTTAATTTAGTTGTTTTTATTTTCTCATTTTTGCATGCAAAAATAAAAGACCAATCACAATTCAGTATTCAAATATCGATGACATCCTCACTGATGGTAACTTTCTGGAATGTTTGAATCCTGAACTATGTAGGTCAGTGGAAAATTTCTTCCTTCCTTGGATGTTTGCAAAAACCACAAATAGATACAATTTTAAATAAAAAGAGATACAAAACTTCTTCCATTTTACTGTCTAAAGATGATAGATTTACTCAGACGGTGCACTTGTATTACTGTGAATGGAAGTAACTGCTATGTGCAATATGGCTACACCTAAATAAAAGAGCCAATCAGCTGTTGGTAAAATCGTTGCATCACAAATCTGGCTAGACGAACCTGAAATATACACATTTTTAATGCCATTTAGCATAAGAAGCAACATTTATGAGTTGCTTCTCAAGTTGAGCTTACACTTACTTGGCTCATTGTTAGTGTACAGAGATGATGTGACATGTCACGTGTAGACCGTGTCAGGCTCTCCTAATATGATTAATGCTAACAATAAGCTTTGCATTTTCAGATAATTCAAGAAAACATCGGAAACCAGGAGCAGACGTCCATCTCTGAGGATCTCAACATGGAGACCTTGGTGTGAGTAGCAGCAGATTCTCAATGATGAATTGATCGACTTGTGTGATTTCTAGGAGATCCTTATACCCACAGTTTTTCCGCACATGTGGAGGTGTTTTCTATTATGACTTTGCAATGAGTTTTTGTTCCTTTCATGACTGGATGAGTGAAATAAAGCTGACATTTGTCACTGTTTCCACAGTCAAGCTCATGACTATATAATTGCCGGAGGCTGCCTGGCTGTGGGATTCCGGTTTGCTGGGTCTGCAAATTCAGACGCTTTTGACTGCTTAGTAAGTGGACATTTACTTCCCACTAACAGATTTGTGATCTTTCTGAAAGTTCTCTGAATATTCTTAATATTTCCTTTCTCCTTCAGTACAAATTTGCCCGAAACTTCATGCAGTGTCTGACGACCTCGACGGCTACAGTGGTAAGCATTTGTTTGCATTAAAGGCAAGCATCATCATGTAATCACAAATATTCATTCGAGCAACGTCCGCTGTCCTCCAGACAGGGCAGTATAACCTGCAGACGTGTTTAAGCATGGTCCTCCTGGCGGTTTCAATGGTGATGGCCGGTTCAGGGAACTTGAAAGTGTTGCAGCTGTGCCGCTTCTTCCACAAACGCACCTTTGGCGAGATGAACTATGGCTTCCACATGGCCCATCACATGGCTCTGGGCCTGCTCTTCCTGGGTGGAGGGAGGTTAGTTGAGTTTGAGTTTCATATGGATTTGGAAATATATAAAAGAGTCAATTTTTACCTATACTTCCCAGCACCTCCGTTCACTTCCATATGCCATTAGTATGCGTTTAATTAGTAGTGTTTGCTAAGGCAATAATCACAATTACCTGCTGCAGGGATGACGTATTTTTGTAGTCCAGCTGAAAGTTAGCATCACCATAACAAAAAGCCAACAGAATTTTTCCATTGGCTTTTAGATTATTGTATAAAATAAGCTATGTGGCCAGCAAAAGTTTAGGATTTGTACACATTTTGTTCATCATGATAATCTTTGCAAATGAACACAACTTTTATGAATTCTGAAGCCTAAATACAAGTATATCCTTTGACCCCACATTTCATTCTCTGCTAAATAATGCATTAAAGGAAGTTCATCCACAAATTAATTCCATCATCATTTACTCATTCTCATGTCGATTTTGCTTCTGCATATTCAGTTACATTCGGTCACACAATGCATGAGAATCAGCCTTGATGTCAAATTTACAATTATGCTTCTTCATGCACCAAATTTTAATGTGGAAGAAGAAAATTATATGGGTTTGGAATAGTGATGCACAGAATGAAAAATGAATGAAAATTCTAGACCAAAACTGAATTCAGGATGCACTTTGGCAAAAACTGAAACTGAAAATAAATTTTATGTAAAAACGAATTAATTAATCAAATAAAATGAGCTTTACAAACATTTAAATTGCACATTTATTTGCAACTTTTTAATAACAGAATTATGTGTCTACTCAAATTTGTTGTTGAAATTTAAATGGTGGCTATAATAAAAACGTACTATTCAAACATACACTAAATAATGAAGAAAACACATTAAGTAAAAATATAATGAATATGTAATATAGTGCATATATTTACCAAAATGCTCCTCTCCAAAGCTATTTTTTCTAGCTAGCTATGTCTTTAATGAGATAAATGTAACGATAAATTACCTGTTGTTTACAAGCTGTTTTATTAACATCTTTCTGTGGTTGCAACTCTGATTGAGCGATTACATGAGACATTTCAGTAAATTGTTCTGTTTCTTTCAACACCTTCTGATGTTCATTTATGCTTATTTTGTGCTATAACTAGTAATAAAGTGGAAGAGATGAAGAACAGAGGCAGCTATAGTGGTCTGTGATTTTAGTTCATGCATTAAGAGAAAAATGGCATAGACTAAAATATTAGTCTTGAGGTTTAAGAATCAATATCAGTTTTGATATTTTTAATTCATCACTAGCATTCACACAGCTGGCACGTTTGTACTTTTATTCATGTTGTGTGTATGAAATCGACTGAAAGTCAAAACATGCCATCAGAAAAACACTAATGAAACATCACTGTTTCGGTCAATACGCTACACTGCCACACTGCCTATGCTGCTGCTGTAGATATGAGATATGAAAGATATGCTGTAGATATGAAAATTACATATAAAGAAATTTATGTGCATGTGTGAAGCAGCAAGCTACAGGTGTTGTGGTGGGCTGGTACACAAGCTCTTTAACGTTTTTAAAGAGAAATAAGGTGACCTCTAACCAGGTCAGTGAAAGGCACAGTAAGAGCCTCTCGTCCTGTCAGAGCCTGTTCGAGTGCACTCTTCAACTAGCCCATTATTTTTAAGTGAGGCCTTTTGAAAGAGCACAAATAGTACTGGTGAACAATGCATGACCAATTTCCCCCTCGCTACACAATTGCGTGTGTCACATGCACTCTGAAATATTGCTACCGGGGACAACTGAATATGCAGCATGTGTGTCCATTGTTTATTTTGCGCAAATTTTCCAACATCAGTCCACATGCATTGTTCATTTATGTTTTTCCTCACTCAACTGATAATATGCGGTTAGAGAAAAGTCAAAAACCTACTTTTTATGACATACTTTTGCTTTTCCCACAGGTACACACTCAGCACCTCCAACTCGGCTATTGCTGCCCTCCTTTGTGCACTTTATCCTCATTTTCCTGCTCACAGCACAGACAACAGGTTGACAACAGCTGCTAACACACACACGTCACAATGAGCAAATATGGCTGTATTGTCTTCACTTCTGAGGAAAACCAGTTTCATTTTGACTGTAAATGAGACTTGTTACCCAGAATCGTGAATGTGTGTGTATTAAATGCTCGTATCTACATGGTGTCAAAGTGTCCTGTAATACACTTGGCTCAAAAAGTATTCACACACTTCAGTCACACTTAAAAACACGTGAATGACGTTGCATTAGACAAGATATCAAACCAAGTGCCATTTGTTTTGCAGAACAGTTTTCAAGTGAAACATTTCACATTAATATTTTCAGTTTGAAATGACAAGACAATACATCCAGGCATTTTTAAGTGCTTTTAATGTCAAATACTGTCTGTGGAGACTGTATTTCATCTTTACTACTACTACTAAGAAAGAATAGAGATGATAATAAACACTTGACAGTAATCGAAACATATACTCCAGAGTTTCTAACTACAACTGATTGTGTGTCAGGCTGGTGGATGTATTTGCGTTTAAGGTTGGAAATATAAATAATTTTTTGTTCCTTCTAAGCATATGTTCTTGTTCGTCTTTGCAGGTATCACCTCCAGGCGTTGCGCCACCTGGCTGTGCTCGCAGCAGAACCGCGTCTGCTGGTGCCTGTAGATGTGGACACACTCAAACCCTGCTACGCTCTGCTAGATGTCACCTACAGGGTATGTGCTGCACGTGCCTCACACCTCGATGTGGTCTTTCAAAACATACACTTACTCACATTCAGTGAAAGCCAGTGTTATTTTAGTATTAATTACAGTATATATTATTATAGTGTTTATTCAGTTTTTAGCTTTTATTTTTACATTTTCATTTCTCATGTTAACTTCCGTTTAAGCTATGTGCTTTTGTCATTTTTTTTACATTTCTCTTCAGCTTTATTTATTTTAGTTTTAATAATTTTAATACTTCAACTTATTTCATTTCATTTAGTAGTCAATGTAAGATTTCTATTTTTAAGTACATTTTTAAGCTCTTTAAGTTTAGGTTTTTATTCTAATATTAACTTTTTATTTTATTTCAGTTAACGAAAATTATTTTTAATAGCTTTAGTTTTCGTTTTAGTTAACAATAACAACACTGGTTACCAACATTAATTCAAAATAGACCATTTTAACTTCTTTAATTCACATTTGTTCCAAAGAAAAACAATGTTGTTTTAATCGTTCATTGAAATGTAAAAATGCAACTTGCTGTGTCTCTGAAACAGTGTTATTTTAGTATTATTTAAATACTATTATATAAATTTTTTGAATATTTGGAATTAGCTTTTCAATTTTCATTTTAATACATTTTTTTAGCAATTGTGAAATGTGCTTTTGTCATTTTAATATTATTTTTATTTAGGTATTATTTTTATTTCATGTTGCCTTGACACTTAACTGAAATAAGTTTAAAGTTTTCACCTAATATTTATATTTTATTTAATGTTTAGTTCAATTAAAAAATGTTTTAGTTTTAGCTAACAATAATAAGACGGTAGTTGTAGGTCATTTAGCTTTTCTTTGTTGTGAAATGCACTGATATAATAGTGGTTAAAGTTAAATGTTGTGTCAATATTAGCAAATTAGAATATATTTAAAAAAGTAGAGTTACAATCGGGATAAGTAGTGATGCTCTTAAGGATGAACGTGACTTTTGACCTCCATGCCCGGGTCAAAAAGCTTCCTCAAAAGTGCACTGCAAACTGATTTCATATCTGACTCTGAAGCTTTTCAGTTCTTGATTAAAATCACATTTTTTTCCTCATCTCACTTGCTAAAATGGCTTTGAATACCACTTGATGTCAAAGACTGTGTAATTAGCACATAGCTCCACATCCCAGCATCTAGCCGTCCCGTTGCGTGTGAGGCCATTAGGCCACATCAAAGAGATTCTTTGGTGATAAAAATGCTGAAGGACTGCTGAAGGTTGACCGTGGCGCCTGACGATGTTTCCCCTGCTGCTTTGAGAGGACTCATCTTTTCAATTAAATGATGCCCGCCAAAGGCAGGCAACCAGCAGTTCACAGCAATTACAAACACGTCTTTGCTCACGCAGGCATGGAGTCGCACATAGTGAATTTATACATCGTGATGCATGGCGTTAGGTTCCTAATCTGTTTGTGCATGCATGTGGTATGTGTTTAATAGGAGACACAGTGGTATGAAGAGACGACCGTGGAGTTGATGGCTCCCACCATGCTACCTGAGCTTCACCTTCTGAAACGGGTAATAAATTAAACCACTTCTAAGTACATCTCATACAAACTCCCTAAATGGGATGTTATATTTTTGTCTTTGCATCCAGATTAAGGTAAAAGGTCCAAGATATTGGGAGCTGAACATCGACATCAGTAAAGGAACCCAACATCTGCAGTAAGTCTGCATGTAGATTAAGTGAGATGGAATCGAACTAAACCGCTTTAAGCTCTGTTCCAAAACCAAGTGAGCTGACTATCTCTTTTATCTATTTAAGGCATCGTAGCCACGGTCCAGATGTGAATGCTTTTTCAATAGGTAGGCAGTGACATTGTTAACTACTTTTTGCAATCTTTAAGGGAGCATCACATGTGTTCTTCAAGATAAGGTAGTCCCAGAATGCACTGCGACAAGCTCAGTGAAAAAAAAAAAATCATCCATGATGCTGAAATGTTTGTTTTTGTTCAGTACTGAAGTATCAGTATACACAGAATTTTTGCAAACTATATACACACAACTATTCACACATTTTGGGGCCAGTAAGAGTTTTTTTTATTATTATTATTATTAAAATGTAATATAAGTTTTATTAGAATTTAAAACTTGTATTCAGCAAGGATGTAGAATTAGTCACACAAAACGTACCTATATATATTTATTGAAAGGAGAAGAATTGCCTTTGAGATTTTAATATTTTTTTATTAAGTCTTCCTTGACTCTTTTATTAGTGTCCTTTTTTAAATAATACTAGGAAATGTTTTTTTGTTTTTTTTACTCACTCAGAAAGTACATTAATGGACATTTTTAGAAAAGCTTCGCCTGGGAAACTATTAGAATTTTGATCAAATATCAGTTTGAAAGATTGTATATAATGTTATTTTTTATGTGTTTATTTATTTATTTTACTAAAGTTTGTTTGTAAATAATTATATTGTTAATTTATTACATAGAATTCTTTGAAGTGTTGTTATCAATACTATTTTAACTCTTATTATTCTTGAGTTTTCCATGAATTTAGATTTTGATGCTGATATAGTACAATGATAAATAAACATGTAGTGGTAAATAAATAATAATTCAGCATGGATGCATTAAATTTGTCAAAAGTGAGAGTAAAGACATTTATAATCTATTTCAAATAAATGCTGTTCTTTTAAACTTTCTACACATCAAAGAATCCTGAAAAGAATAAAAAATTAAGCATATTAATATTAAAAATAATAAGCAGCACAATCATTTTCAACTAATGTTTCTTGAGCAGCATATCAGCATATTAGAATGATTTCTGAAGGATCATGTGACACTGAAGACTGGAGTAATGATGCTGAAAATTCAGCTTTACACCTCAGGAATAAATTACTTAAAAATAAAATAAAAAATGTAAATAGAAAATGGTGATTTTTAAATTGTAAAAATATGATTATTTTCGTTTTTACTGTATTTCTGATTAAATATATGCAGCCTCGGTGAGCAAAAGTCTTCTTTTGAAAACATACCAAAACAAAATCATACCAACCCCAAACTTTTGAACAGTAGTGTAGTTTTATGCTTAATGACATGTTGACGTCTCGAAATAATCAGTATGAGTGCTATTTATCAAGCTGCCCATAGAGTGTTCCAAATCACTCACTTATTAGGTTCCGTTTTTTTGTTAGTGTGCTTCTTTAGAAGGCAGCTCACTAGGATTTGGAACGGAGCTCCAGTTAACTGTGGTCAAGAACAGAGTGCTTTAAGTTTACTGCTTTCTAGATCCATCTTATCCAAAGACGGCGTTCTGTATGTGAAGTTGCGCGCCGGACAGCTGCCCTACAAGGACGACCCTCAAGGCTGGAAGAGCCTACTGGCCCCCAACCTCAACAGCAGAAGCGCTGAAGTGCACACTTTTAAGGTCGGTCTGTGTGCACAATAAATATTACCAACTGTCCACAAACTGGTTTGGCCGACATCTGTCAATGTTTACGGTGTCATATGTCTGTTTGTATATAATTCAAGCATTAATCCATTCATGCAAATACAGAGGATAAAGGTGTAAAGATATTTCCGGATGTTTGCAGAGGTCTCGTGTTCCTAATTGGATTAATGCAGCATAACGTGTTCTTTCAAACTGCTGCAAAGAATGTTTTTCATGCCAATGAGCTATTTTTCCCTTCCCTCCCACTTGTTCGTCTACGCAGCCCGAGGCCATCTCAACCTTCACCTCAGACGCAGCTCTGGTCTCCTTCGCTGAGTACTTCTGCAGAGCCTCGGAAAACATGAAGCATGTGAGACCATAAACATGTTGTTTTAAGGCAAAGCGCTTGGTTTGTGTAATAGGAAAAAAGCATTCATGTCCCTATAGAGGCGAAGTCTTGTCCATGTGCATTCATAAGGAAAGAGACTAGGATACTAAATAGCTGTCAGAAACTAAATTTTGCTCTTCTGAGACAACTTGATCTTTTAAAAACTGTGACTTAATATGAGACCAGTGTGATAAAGTCACTTGACAACCATGTAAAATTGGTAAAGAGATGGACAGAATAAACTGATTTGAAAGAATGGCTTGCATCTTTAATAAAACACTTTTTTTGTGCAGAAGGATTAACGCATGTCAGAAATGCTTAAACCCATGAACATTTCCCTAAGACATTTAGTATGTTGCCAAATACGTTAATGCAAATCGTCTCCTGAACAAGAGGGTAACGTGTTTATAGTAAATACTCTTATAATGGAAGCCAGGCAGGAGAGCGGGCGTACCACAAATAAAAACTTTCAGTTTCAAAAGTGTAACCTTAACACATCAAAGCAGGTTTATTGTCATTTCTTTCCTATGTGATAGAAGAGCAAATGAAATAAAGTGACGCCTGGAGCCTCAGTGCAAAACGTTTAACCAGAAAATGTGTGTCACAGTAGCTATAAATACAAAATTAATACAGGAAACATAGGAGTAAATATGTGCATTACTATAAACATTTATTTATATTTCAAACTTAGGGATGAATCAACATTATTTTTTTGTAATAATCGACTTCATGCAACAGATGCGGTTCTTAGACATTAGGTTGTAAATAACTCGAAAGAATGGTGTTGCTATATTTTTCACACCTTTTTCTGTCTTGTTTCTACAGAAGCAGGAGACCGTGGCATTACTGTCAGCAATTCTGTATGAATGTGTGACACAGGAATACCCAGAAATGCTGCCAACACACATCTCTATTGACCAGGTCAGTTACAGTAAAGCACAAATACATGCAAATATTGGGTAAAATAGTGCATTTTAATTAGGTGGAATTTTTCTGTGTCTACAATTTTCATTGGGTGTGTTTCTAAATGCACACTACTGTTCTAAAACATTTTCAAATGTTTTTTTTTTTTAAAGGAGTCTCTTTTGCTTTCCAAGGCTGCATTTTTTTAAATCAAATATACAGTAAAAACGGAAATATTATTACAATTTAAGAGAACTGCTTTCTATATGAATATATTTTAAAATGTAATTTATTCCTGTGACAGAAAGCTGAATTTTCAGCATCATTACTCCAGTCTTCAGTGTCACATGATCCTTCAGAAATCATTCTAATATGCTGATTTGCTGCTCAAGAAATATTTCTTATGATTATCAATTTTGAAAACAGTTGTGCTGCTTAATATTTTTTGTGGAAATGTGATACATTTTTTCAAAATGCAAAAAAATCTTAATGGTCATAAAAAACACTTTATTTTCTTTGTACGTAATATAATTTATTAAGATTAATAATATATTTATTTATTCTTATAATTATAAAATAATTATTTATCAATATAAATGTGTTAATGTATTTTATTTAAATACAAAAATAATTATTTAAATTGATTATTTATCATGAAATAAATATTTTTATTTTGTTTTATTTTATTTTATAACGGCCCAGATATTTCTGTGCCTGGATCAGATTCCAGCCCAAAACCAAAACTTAATCATAAAATTAAGAAAGTTCATAATAATATGTAACAAAATAACATAATACATAAACATAATAATAATAATAATAATAAAAAGGTGTGTATATGTTTGTGTGTGGCTAGATAGACAGATCAGGGTTCGTATGGTCATGAAAAACCAGGAAAAGTCATGAAATGTTAAAACGGCAATTTCCAGGCCTGGAAAAGTCATGGAAATTTCACAAATCTCTGTATAATAGAATTATGTTTAATCAGGTCCTGATTTCGGTGGGGGATTGTGCATATATCGCATAGTTTTACTCATTTCTGCAACTTTCAAGTTTATAATGAGGGAAATTCCTGCAAACATTTATTCAATATGGCATGTAGGTTAGATGAGTAAATAAATCCACACAAACCGTCAGATTTAAATCAGTCATTTGAAAACCGCACGAGTGATTCAGCTGTACCATGTCATCTCTCTTTCACTGTCTCAATGTGGCTTCGCATGAAGTGCATCTCGTCTGCACTACAAGAGCTGCTGCACGCTGCAATACAAGACTTTCGCTTGCGTTTCGGGACAGTTGACAACTGTCACTTGCCTGATCGGGTCATTGTTGCATCGTCACAAACAATATATAATTTGCACATCTTTTTAAGCCATTCGATACTCATGTACTCCAGAGGCGGTTTTCTGTGCGCTCACAGTCACGTCCGAAGCACGCGTGCATATAAAGCTGCCTCGCGAGTACCAAATTGAGTTATTTGTCGCAGCTTGTTGCATTTAAGCGGCCAAATACACACAAAATGACGTCAAAATGGCCATCCTGGCAAATCCTCATAAGCACAGTCGGTTTTGTCTTAAGTAAATGTAAACAGGTCATTTTTGGGGGGGATGCTCTGCACTTTTTCCTTTCTGGTCTCAGCTTGCTCATGACATATCATTCCTGTTAGATAAGGATATGGCGTTGACTCCAGAACTGTTCTTCTTAAATAACTTTTCTGAATTGACATTGTCTTCGCAACAGAGAAATTTACTTTTAGCTGCTCTCACTGCGGCAAAGAAAATGTTAGTCAGTCGCTGGATTCCTCCACATATGATGAGCAGGCGTGTATGGGGCTTGTCTTTGCTGGACATTATTTCCTTGGAACTATCAACAGCTCGAATTCATGGTGCAAAGACAAAAACTTTGAAGACCTGGAGTGCTACTTTTGATATCGTTAAATCCTTTGTTTCTTCTTTTTGATGTACAATTTATTTTGTATTTATGTATACTTTCTGTTTATCTTATGATTAGGAATTTTACTTTTCTCCACTGCAATGTCTTATAATTCCTCAGCACAGTATAAGTCTACTTGGTGGGTAGGGGTTGGGGTGGTGATTATAATCTAATATGTTGTATCTTCTCTATATTGTACTGACTACTCAATAAAAATAATTGTTCACAAAAAAAAAAGTAAATGTAAACAGGTGAGAAAGAAAACGCATGTGTATCAGTATTGGATCTGGGCATTGGGTCTTGAGAGAGCAGCCTAAGGAGCAGCCTCTTTTGGGCTCTCAAGTTCGTTATTTCAAATGTAGATGCGTAGCAAGCATGCTCATAATAGAAGCTTTTTCGTGAAATAAATGCATGCTATAGGTCAGCACGAGTGTCTTTCATTGGCGCGTGAGGAGGGGGGTCCACCAATTGAGGTGCCGGATTGGATTCCGGAGGTGCCGGCTTCAAATCTGGCTTGTTCCTGCGCAATTTAAAGGGATTGTTTTTGGAATTTTATGTTTATCTGCTTACCCCCAGGGCATCCAAGATATAGGTGACTTTGTTTCTTCAGTGGAACACAAACGAAGCTTTTTAACTCAAACCGTTGCAGTCTGTCAGTCTTATAATGGAAGTGAATGGGAATCACGGCTTTGAGAGTAAAAAAAAAACATACACAAACAAAACCAAATGACCCCCTGCGGCTCGTGACGATACATTGATGTGTAAAGACACGAAACGATCAGTCTGTGCAAGAAACTGAACAGTATTTATATCGTTTTTTTACCTCTGATGCACTGCAATGTCTGAACTGTTCGAACTGTCCTGAGCGGCGGCTCGTCCTCCTGAGTGCGTTCTCAACAGCAGGCGTGTGAGGCGTCGTCGTCGTCTTCTTGCTTTACGGCGAATCACAGACTTATGAGTGCATTACCACCACCTATCTCTCAAATGGACCATTGACACTCT